TGGTACAAATCCATCGTATGACATTGGAATGAAGTTGACAAAGAATTCGTGCGTTTTCGACTCAGATTCCGTCATCGGTGGGGGACAGAAGCTTGTCGAGCTGTCCATGAATAACCGCAGACCTTGTCTCATTCTTGAGCCCCAATTTTGAGCACAATGATGAAGAAATATCATGTCGATAATGTCTTCTTCGACAACAAAGTGGCTTTGGCCATCGGCGCTGCGATAGGTCTTGACCGACAACCCTGACTCGGCATGTTTGTATTCCCAATCATTGAAACTCTTCATTTTCATAGTGGCAACTAACTCACGCATCGCAACTGGCGACTGGGAGTAGTGGCTAAGGATCTCCTTGGTTGAAATGTCGATAAATTCCTTCCCCATCAAATCCGTGATTGCGCACTTCAAATCACCCTCGCTTATCCACATGCCGCTATCGAGAAGTTCGGCACCATGTACTTGCATTATGTCACGGACATCCTGGAAATCAACGTGCTCGTTGCCCTCAAATAGGCTCCTGAGATAATTGGTAATGGCTTCGGGATTGACATCTGTTGGTCTGGCGATGTTGCTCGCGATGTTTTCGTGGACTTCTGTGACAGTGTCCCCAATCAATTCAAAGTCATCATCCAGGGCCAATTTCTCAAGCTCGACATTGGCTGCTGAATTGATTGGATTGTTCGTTGTGAGGGCCTCTTTCAGAAGGCGTGTGTGCAAACGCGACACTTCCAGGCGATTGGAATGCTTCTCGATCTGTTTTCGCATATTTTGCTCAAACTTCAGGAGTTTCTTCATGGACACAAAGTTCGATAAGGTCTTGTCGTCCGGCGCCTGTTCGGTGCACCGGTTGATAGTATCCACCATCCACTCATCGTCTTCGGTAAGCTGCAGCTCCAGGTTCTGTACATCTTTCAAAAGGCTCGAGATCCTCTTTACAATACTGGGCTCCTGGGTTCGATCGACGGGAGAGAGATACCGGCGCTCGAAATTCTCTTTAGCGCACTCCAACTCTTCGATGCGGCGTTCAACCACTTGTCTGAGCACCGGAGTGACAGTGAATGGTGACATGGGATCCATAACGGGTGAAAATTATGGAATATGGACTGAATTTGACGTGATAGAAGGAAACATCTTATCTATCGTAGATTTCCCCGCTTTGTGTAACCCTTCAGGCAACAGCCTGGGGCTGAAGTGGCAAACTTGTTTTTGCGCAGGCTACTGCATGATAAAGCAGCCACGTAGACCCCAACATATTAACTGACGAACGGAACGAGTATCTCGTGACGGTTGAGATTGCTCTGCATGAAATTGTAAGCTGATGCATGGAAGGCTGCGAAGTTCGACCATTCATGGTAAAGGAGGCGTCCAATGAGGCTAGCTTTCCCCGCAGCTTCCACCGGTTCTCATGGCGTAGCACTGAACCCACTATTGTAATCTTACAGCCTTGTAAGATATGGCTCTGACGATAATTGTATGCATTAGATAGATATCTTGCAATATATTGTGCGTGAATTATCGAGTGCATTGGATGTTACTGAGTGACATATATGTACATCTAGCCTACCTGTTTCGATCCTCATATACAGTGAACACAAATTTCGAATGATGTATGACTAATCGCGATGTCTGGGACGTGGATAGAAGTCCTCATGACAATCTTCTCCATCTACTGCATGTCCCCATTGATTAAGGACGTGCTCATATTCGAGTATTCAGTCCTGTTTCCAAGTGAGTCAGGTCTGAAAATCCTTCTCTTCTTATTTGTACGTGGATGTTGATAAAATCACTCCAATACACGCTGTGTTATCAGTGTAGAAAGGTGTTCAGGACCATATGGACTTATCGTGAGGGTGAAATCGTGCCGTATCATATGCATTGTTATGGCCTGGTATGGGCAGCGATGAAGGGATGTCACAATTGCAGAGAACTGGTTGCTTTCCTGGATGAACAAACGATGAAGATGGTAGAGAGGACCGAATATGCATTTGCCCCTACGTTTACCCAGTGCCATTGGATGAGGGAAGAGGCTCACGACCAGTGCGGAGCTTTCGGTATCGTCTTCACATTCTACAGCACTCTGAGATCCTCCGATTCGATGGCTGTGAAATACATCACATGCCCCCTCAAAGCGCTCCGTATACCATACGATCCATTACCAGATGCGATTACATACGACGCTGGATTCATACAGTCCCTGTTAGTTGTTAAGAGCTGGCTTGAGCAATGTATCCAATCGCACGGTGCTTGCTGCTCCCTTGATGACAGTCATTGGATTCCGACCTGTTTGCTCGAGATTTATGAATCCAGTAACGAAACGAAAGTCCGAATTCGAGAGAATCTACCAAAACCTTTCCTTTCCCTCGCTACATGACTTGAGTTATTGTTGAGGATCACCAAATGGTAAACGTTTACTACTGAATGCGGAAACGAAGGATGTGCTCTATGTAGGCATTGGACTTGAACAGTTACCGGATAACTTCAGAGACGCTATAGAAGTAACCAAGAAAGTTGGTGTACGCCATATCTAGATTGACAGCCTGTGTATCATACAGGGTGATGCGCTTGACTCGATGCAGAAAGGCGCAACCATGGCGGAAGTATAAAAAAACAGTCTTCTCAATATATTAGCAAGCATAACAGCCGTCGGAGAGAGCAGTGGCTTTTTTGTGAAGCGGAATCCCGCACAGATCCATCTATATCAGCCCCGCTCTCAACCTCCTATGAAGATACCGCCTCCTGTCACATACCCGATGGTCCCCGCAGATCTTTGGAAACAGAGCGTTGATGGTGCTACGATAAATACGCGTGGTTGGGTGCTACAGGAGCGAATACTCTCCCCTAGAGTCGTTCACTTCTGCAAAGATCAGATATTTTGGGATTGCCGACAACTTCGTGCCTGTGAGAGCTTGCCTGGCGGCATACCTACGGCAATAGAAATCAGCTGCCTTAACCCCATACGATCCGTGGTGAGGAGATGTCTCGCGACTGTGGAACAGAAAGTAAATCCACGGCCCGACGATGAACCAATACAAATCGACCACAGATTCTGGCAGCTTCTTGTACATATCTACTCCACTTACCACCTCATGTACAAAACAGCCAAACTTATGGCCATGTCTAGAATTGCTCGCGACCTTGCCCCAGCACTAGGTCTAAGATATGCTGCTGGTCATTGGCTCAAGCATATGCCCTGGTCACTGCTTTGGCAAACAAAGCCACATTCTGGGGTGAATAGAATAGGAGATTATGTTGCACCATCATGGAGCTGGACTTCTATCGATGGCGAAATCTTTTACGAAGAGCAAAAAGGTATTGATAAAACCGCAGGTCTGGCAGTCGAGATCAACGAACCAATTATCATTGAGCAGATGACATACATGTACGAAACACCGTTCTCGGATAAGTTGGAGAGTTTGGGCCCGTTTCCTAAGCCGGTTCCAGATCCTGCGTGTGTTGTCGTCCTTGGTGTGGACGTTAACCTCGTCAACAAAACCGATCCTTTCGGCCAGATTACCAGCGGCGTACTCCATCTTTCTGGGAAATTGGTTACTCTCCACGTAGAACTTGATGGATCAAAAGAGAAGATATTACACGTCACTATCAACGACAGCCTTGATCTGTTTCCCGATCCGGAATCCCGATCTCCAGAAATCAGCTTGATCTCATTTGAGCCGGCCGATATGTCGCACCTTGATGAGGATCATCCATATGAAGCCAAGGAGAAGAAGGAGATTCGAAAGATGGTGCAGGACTCGAAAGCGACCTTCTTTTTACGTACAAAACAAGCAGATTTGCTTCTTGACGAAGAGAATGCACTGACGCAAGGAGCGAGATCGGCATGCGATACCCAGGTCGGAGTCATCAGTGTAAGCAAGAATCTGTTCTTTCTACCAGTCACTCAAAAGACACCCGACGACCCAATGATTGGTTTGCTTCTGATGCCCAAATCATCCGGAAGTTTTGTACGCCTCGGAATCATGAAAGTAGAAAAGAAGATCGCCGAGATGTTTTCGAGCGTTTCGAATCGTGAGACTCACATCGTGTAGGAGAGATTAAGGGTCTGGCAGCGAATATGGGACATCGGTGGTAACAGTGATAAATTCTTAGAAGCTAGCGCAGATTGTCAGAGCTATACAATAACGCAATTCGGGCCTTGACGAATGTAGTCTTCTTATTTGGATTTTTGGTCCCATGTCTAGCAGAAGTGGATTAGTGTGCGAGGTCACTTTGCTTCCACATCTTCAGCGATCAGCGCCTCGACATCGCGCTCCATGAGCCAGCTGCGAACGCTTTCCATGACCTTTTCCAGTGTCTGACCACCCCCCATTACATCGTCCAAATCATGTACAGTCGTGCCGCTCCGGTGGTCGGTCACGCGTTGCTGGCCCCAATTATAAGTCCGCACCTTGTCACCGCGACCCATCCTGGCCACGCCAATCACGCTTCGTCGCATGTTGGCCATCTCTTCTTCGCGCTTCTCTCGCCGTGTCTGAGCAATGCGCGCGCGCAATAATGCCCATGCCTTCTCCTTGTTCTTATGTTGTGATCTCGAATCTTGCATCGCAACTACCGTATTGGTGGGCATATGTGTTAGACGAACGGCAGACTCGGTCTTGTTGACGTGTTGGCCACCAGCACCACTTGCGCGCATGACTTCCAGCTTGACCTCTTTCGGGTCGATGTAGTAATCGCTCTCCGGGTTATCGAAATCCTGCTCCTCTGCGGAGTTCTCCTGTAGACTGGGCAGTACGTGAACCGATGCGGCGCTTGTGTGCGTGCGACCTTTTGTCTCAGTAGCGGGTACTCGCTGAACCCGGTGTACACCTGCTTCGCATCTAAACACGCCGTATGCATTTTCGTTCTCCACCTCCATGATTGCTTCCGATAATGGTACCCCCGCTTCCGTTGTGCCGTTGATGTTTTCGTATTTGAGTAGGTTGGTGCGGAAGCCATTGCGATTGCAAAAGGCCATATACATGCGAAAGAGATCACCAGCGAAGATAGCAGCTTCCGAACCGCCGGCGCCTGGTCTTATTTCCAGCAAACATGGCAAGTGTGCGAATGGATGTACAGGGACGAGGGACGTGATTAGACTTTGCGACGCATGGACAAGTTGGGTGCGTATCTCTTCAAGATCGTCTGAGGCAAGAGATCGTAGTTCGGGATCAGTAGTAGAGTCGTGTATCATCGATGTGAGTTCTGTCACAGACTTAGTCCATATCAGCTACCGATTCGCTCCTGCCTGCCCTGCCCCTAGTCATGCTCACCTCATTGGCCTTATCCCACTCCCCTAATGCGTTCACGATAGGGCTGTATTCACCCAACTTCTTTGCTGCACGCGTATCGAAGCCATTAGCGAGCTTCTCAGTGAGCTCCTTGTGTTCAGTGGTAATTGCACGTGCCCTGGCGAGGAGGGCTGGAGGTATCGATTCGGGTGACGCAGCTTTTGTCGAATTAGAGATTTTTCAAACTCCACATATAGGCATACTTACCAGTACTTTGTAGACGTATGCTGCGCCTTAAAAACGGCCTACCGACACGCGAAAGGCAGTTGCGACATATCCAGGGCGTTGCTAGCATAGTCGTGGGATGGAGTGAAGTTTGTTGGAAATTCAGAGTCCCGCGTTGATTCCGATCGGCTCGGAACGTGTGCACGTGACTCTTGATCCCTTTCGGTGCGAGCTACACCGCCTAGCCACCTTCCTATTCCAGGCCGCGTATATCACTAGATCGTCATGGTCATGATTGGGGTCGTTACGATATGATCCGAGGTAATGATCGAGCGAAGTCGGCAACCCGATATCTCCGGGGATAACCGTCAGTCACTACTTATGTAGTGGACATAGAGCTGGTGAGCTTCTACATGCCTCACTGAGCTTTTGAAGCTTAAGTACTCAACCATAATGCCTACTCCACGCCGAAGCAAGAGGACCAAGACTCACCATGAGACCGAGAAGCAGCCGGTGGAAGCTACTTTTGCCAACTCCAACGTCTATCCTCATCCTGACCCGCAGTTTGTCCACTTCTCCAGTCGGCGTTCAGTAGTGCATAGTACCAAGGGCATCGTGTCGTCTACGCAGCCTCTCGCATCTGCTGCTGGGATTGAAATCCTCAGGAAAGGTGGAAATGCCGCTGTATGACGTAATGCACCACCACTTTTGTTCTTGACTGACAGTAGACAGGATGCTGCCGTAGCCGCAGCAGCAGCAATCAATGTCACAGAACCGGGTTCTACCGGCATCGGTGGTGATATGTTCTGCCTATTCTATGATGCCAAGACCAAAAAGGTATCCGCCATGAATGGCTCCGGCCGATCTGGCGCGAACGTTACGCTTGAAAAGATCAGAAAAGACCTCAAGCTCGCAGATGGGGAGAGCGGCCATATACCCATGGACCACGTCCATGCGGCGACTGTCCCTGGCGCTGCGGCTGGTTGGGTTGATTGTGTTGAGCGGTTCGGAAGCGGAAAGGTCACCTTGGAAGACGTGCTTGCACCCGCAATTGAGCTCGCGGAGAAGGGCTTTCCGGTTTCTGAGCTCTCGGCGACATTTGTAAGTCCGATCTTGACCAACTGAAGTTACGATTACTAACGTGCAAAAAGTGGGCGAACAGCGAGGCTGACATCCGCCGTGCCTCTCCCAACGGTCATGAGATACTCAAAAAAGACCCGTCGGCCCAGGATGGCTGCAGAGCGCCAAAGGCTGGCGAAATTATGAAGAACCCAACCATAGGTAACACCTTCAGACTACTTGCCAAGCACGGAAAGAAGGGCTTCTACGAGGGAGAAGTAGCCGAGCACCTTGTCAAGGTGGTCCAGGATCTTGGTGGCTACCTGACGCTCGACGATCTCAAGCATCACGCAGAAACCGGCTCAGAAGCTGTGGACCCCATTTCGCTAAAGTACACCGGCCAGAGTGTTGGCGAGAATACTCATGGTGGTATCGAGCTCTGGGAGCACCCACCCAATGGTCAAGGTATCGTGGCTCTTATGGCGCTCGGTATAATCCAAGAGCTTGAGAAGCAGGGGAAGATTTCAAAATGGAGCATCAAGGATCACAACAGAGCTGAACACCTCCACGCTCTTATCGAAGCCCTGCGTATCGCTTTCTGCGACGCGCATTGGTTTGTCACCGATCCTACGGTCGTCAAGGTACCATCTGCCGAGCTCATCTCGGAGAAGTATCTCGCAGAGCGCGCCAAGCTCTTCAACCCAAAGAAGGCCATTTCCGCGCCTGTACATGGCTCGCCGGCGCATTTACAAAGTGACACCGTCTATTTCTGCTGCTCAGATCCAGAGGGCAACGCTATCTCCTTCATCAACAGCAACTATGGCGGGTTTGGCACGGGTATTGTTCCCAAAGGCTGCGGATTTACGCTACAGAACCGCGGCGCGAACTTCAGCCTTGACAAAGACCACCCCAATGTGCTAGCGCCCAGGAAGCGACCCTACCACACCATCATCCCCGGTCTAACAACCAACCTCAACGACGGGAGTCTACACTCCGTATACGGCGTGATGGGCGGTTTTATGCAGCCTCAAGGACACGTACAAGTTCTTCTCAACCAGGAGGTCTTCAAGCTCAACCCGCAGGCTGCGTTGGACTCTCCACGCTTCTGTATTGGGGCTGGTATGCCCAGCGCTGATGGAACAATGACGGATGCGACGATTTACCTAGAAGAAGGCATCGATCCGAAGGTTGTGAAGCAGCTACAAGCGCTCGGCCACAATGTGGAACAGCTAAGTGGCTACAAACGCGGCATGTTCGGTCGAGGCCAGATTATCAGACATCACGTGGATGACGGTGTGCAAGTGTGGAGTGGTGGCAGTGATCAGCGAGGTGATGGGGCGGCGGTGCCGTTGTAAATAGCTGCCAAGAGGGGAAAATGTTAGGAACGATTTATGAAGTTTATGAAGGTTAGCGACTACCATAATACGTTGGTTTCTGCAAAACGCGATATTGTAACGAATCTACGACTGAAGACTCGCACACGTCACGTGCACATTCGCCCGTCATCTCAAGTCCGTGCCATATAAGATCATCTTTCTCACCCTCTCTATCTCCCTCTTTCATCAACTCATTATCTCCTTCTGTTTATCTAAAATCACAAGTGCCAGTACCATGTCCGAAGCAGGTTACAAGATACACAGCAGCAGCGCATGTCCTGGGCCGTGTTCCTAGCATCTAAAAGTCGCGACAAGCAAGTCTGATAGGAAGCACTACCAAAACATCGATCTCATGTTGCAATGTTCTGGCACCTCTCTTCTTTCTTTCTCCTAAAATCTGCCGTATACGAGAAAACAACTCACTTCTTGAAAATTTCACTAGTACATACATATGTTCAGCTTCCCCAAAATATCGGGGTAAAGATCTTATGGCCGCTCTGTCTTCTCTTGGCAGAACTTCTACATAAATAATTCCGAGTTCTACCAAGTTCTCCATTCTCTACTTCATAATCTTTCATACTTCTAAAACTTGCCCGCGCTAGCCATGCTTTCTTGCACCTTCAAACTCTGACAATGCGTTCTATGAAGATTCCTGCTTTGCCTTTTCTCTGAGGCATTTATATACACCACTCTCCTTGTACCCTCATCTTCTTTCTCTTCTTTCTCAAAAGTAGCCGATGAACTTCAATGGCTGGTTTTATGGAAAATAAAATGAATACTATGTTTTCTTCCAGATCTTTTCTCAAATACTCAAGTATACCTTCTGTCCACATTTTCAGCTAAAAACAAGAGTTCATGGACACATGTGCCCCTTTGTTTTCTGAAAACTATCAGGGTCTCGAGATATGCTGGTTCCAGCTCTTCCTTTCCGCCTTTGCCTCAAAACTACTACCCATCTACTTTATAAGATTGTCTACCAAAATCTGCTTTGCAGACTGGGTATGACTTCCCTGTGCTTCAAAACCACAAAAACAGGTATGGATGCGGTGTTTTCTTCCCCGGGTCTTCTCCTTCACCAGAAAGCAAGGAATTTGTCCCGGATGCCTCGTTCTTCCCTCTGATTTCTCTTCTTTACTAGAATAAATCTGGGCGAAGGTTGATATGTACTAAAACCTATACGTCTCCTCTCCATAACTGCTGCGCTGTGTGTGAGAAGTTTCAAAAATAGAAAACAAATGGAACATGTTTGTGCGAATCGTGTGAGCAGCTTTGTAATACTTAAAACGAGAGATCGCTCTTAGAAGCTTTCTAGAAAAAAAACAGCGATGTCGTCGGACCATTTGGAGGTTCATTCAAAATACACAAGGAGTCAGATTTCGGCACATCAGCCCTTTGAGCGCAGACGCATCTTTTCCGCGCTACCAGCGGGTGGCTATATAAACTTCTCACCTTACCCAACTTCTTTCCTAAACAGTCCCCTTCTACATTCTTTCTGTCAAAAACATAAAACGGTCACGTCAATTTTTTATGCTTTTCCGAAACAAAACAGGCTCTAAGCTCCAAATGAAGTGAGAGAATGACTTCCTAAAAATCTAGTATGTATCTATGGGTTTTCCACTTACCTTTCTAAAACTACTTCCTTAACACACTAAGGAACGACTAGGTCTCTTCTTTCTTTAAAAAAACTACCAAGACGCCCATACGATCTAAAAAGCATACTGTGGTGTAGTAGCTTGTCACGTGTTCGGCGTTAGGTAATCGGCGCTAGGGTTGAGTATTTTAGGACGACTCCGCGTAGAGGAGCTCGACATCATCGGATCATTTTATCATCATTTTTTTGGAGACCATTCTTAATACTACCGATTGTTACTCGGATACCTTCTTGTTCTCTACTCTCTACCGATTGCGGGTCGGCAGCCTCTCTTCTGACTATTGAGACTATCCCTCTGCCACAATACATACACGTGTATGTCTTTCTCTGAAGTGGCGAAACCTACTCTACCGATTTCCAAAACTTTTCTGTGTGTAAAAATGTCATAACTAACCTTTATGCATGTGGTTTCCCTCTGAACTTTCCACACATATATCTACATGTCTTTCTTAAAAACACTAGGAGGACATCGATGAGCTCTGGGAGCTTTCTGCCTTTTTACTTGTCACTTTTCTTTCCTGTTTTGTTCAAAACAAATGAAGAAAAGAAAAACGCGATGGTGCGGGGCGTGCTGTCGCCGCTGTACAAAATCTCTCTCTCTCTCTCTCTCTCCTTTCTTCTTTCCTCTATTTGAAAAATCCCCTGTGTTTGGTATCTCAAAAGCGAGATGGACTACTGCATGTTTGTTGCTATCCTCTTCTATTTTTTAAACTCCAAAAAAAAACGACAAGCATGTATCTTATGTTCTGGGAGTCTCCCGCGTTTCTATAAACATACTCTCTATTTATTATTACTAAAAATTGTTAGCTTAACGAAATCATGAAGGACGACGCGTTGGCACTGTCACATTGTTGATACGGCAAAGGTGAGGTTGAATCAAGTAACGGTCGTTGCAACGAGTTGAAGTAGATGGTTATGATTGATTAGAGGAGGTGGGCTGCAGCTCGCGTACGAACTGAATCCCACCCCACGGCACGGGCCACGCACGTAGTCACGTGCTCGCCACGTACGTACGGTTGCTCGAAACTAAGAGCAACCAACACACATAAATACCCTCCTTCCTTCCGCTCCTCTTCCTTACCTCTTTCCACCACGTTTTCCAGAATTCCCAAACAAAACCTCAAAATCAAGCATGTAATATCGGCGGTCTTCCCTTGCTCTTTCTTAAAATAAGACACCATGTTCCCAATGTCCTCGGAAACTCCACACTCTCCCTAGAAAGCCTCCTGAGTATTTCTCTTTTCTCAAATCGTTTGGCTGGTGGTACATGGAGCACTGTACTGTCTGAAATGCATATAAATACCTGTCACTGTCTTCCTCTCTTCCTCCTTTCTTCCACAAAATTATCCACCAGATATCTGTATTAAAAAAGTACCGGAGGCAACAAATGACTGGAGTTCTCTTTTCTTCAAAACGTCCACAATTTGGAACGATGGCTTCTGGTTATTTCCTATTCTTTCTGAAAACTTATCAGGTTTATTTCTCTCCTTGTTGGAAGGTCTATAGCACTAGTGCTGAAAGGAAATAACGATAACTAGGAATGCATTCTGTTCGGTGATGGTTATTGATTTATTACGAACACAGCTGCTACGAAGGTATACCTAAGCTCTGCGCAAGGTGGGCCGAAGTCGGGCCGAAGTGTCCAGCAGCCGACGTCTCTACCGATACTCACGATCCGACACTCCTTCTATTTTACCGAAAAACAACAAAATCACGTCTTATGTTTGGTGTGAGGCACTGGAACTTCATTCTATGTTCCATCCACTTTATCAAAATACGCGACTTTCATCACTATATTTCTAAAATTGGATATCACCACGTCGATGAAAGAGAGCCGTCGCCTCCACTATGACATGAAAATTCTACATCTTACTCACGATGATTGATTGGAAAATGTGAAGAAGAACAATTCATGGCCTTTTTCTTGGGAAACATGCCATATACATAAATATCATAGCCGCAACCTCCATATGTGAATTCTACCAGCGAGTTCACAAAAAGTCATAGTAGCTTCAGTGGTGTCTTTTGAAAAACCATCGACATAGATTCTTCGGGTTTTGAAACGGGTAGAATTGTACAAGAGAAGGCTCCAAAATTTATTTAAACATTCCTAAGATGTGGGGACACTCATGGAGATCGATCCTGTCCATTTTGAAGGAGAACATTAACCATAATCCGTGAACTTTTGGCGTCTATATTGCAGGAAGTGGAAGCAGAGGAGAAAAGAGCATGGCTCTGCTGAAAACCGTTTTTGATTAAAAGTTTGAACAAGATACAGGATGCAGGAGTCCATACAGCTTGCTGCTGTGCCATTTTATCTCGCCATAGTCGCAGGTCCTGTGGTTTTGGAAAGGTCCAATAAGGACAGAAAGGTCACAACCCAGCACAGCCATAAAAGCGAATTGGTCTATTTTTGAAAAAGCCAGTAAACATGCATGTAGTATTTTTGGAGAAGAGGGGATAGAAGATAACATGAATAGGAGGTTAGAAGCAGGAGGAGCTTATATATGCGCTAGGGCGGTGAGAAGCTTGGCGCCAAAGCATATCCAGGTTTTCGAAGACATGAGCCTTGCACATCAAAGTCCAGACACATGGGTTTTTGGTACCACGAATTTAGATGCATGTCTGACTTTGGGATGCAGCAGCGGACCCGTGGAAGTGAGGGAGCGCATGATGCAGCCAAAAATACCTGCTTACCTCACCCATGACCACGAATCCCTTGCATGCCCCACCCAATCAAGCCGCAGATATGATTACTTGGACACGTCGATAAACCGGGTCGATAGAGAGGAGGGAAAAGCAGGTTACGCAAAGCGTGCTCGGTATCAGGTGTGCCTGCTTTAGTGGGTCGCAAGGGGGGCTACCAAGGAAACACGGTCAAGGACACGGAATCGGGGCTCGATCGAGTCATGATTGGGTATCTTATTTGGTTCGTTATTTGCTGATAGGCGGTACTGCCAAAAGTCAGCCCAGCACATGCAATGCTGTGTGTACGTAAGGACGTGTCCTCCTCAACTGTCCGTAGCCTTTGTCTTTCCATGTCTCTTTCTCCAGGCCTGCACGCCCCTATCGATTTCATCCCTAGTAACGCCGTCTTTTATGAGCTGCATTGTCACGCCTAGCACCTCTACGTTCTTGTTCCTACTCTCGTCGTCGAAGAAGAGCATGTCCTCGTATTCGATCCCGCTGTCCCTGTGTATTCGCTGAAAATGCGTCGTCTTGCTACCGGGGTATATCTGAAGATGATCAAAGTATTCGATGGCTGAGCGCGACGACCCTGATGTACGAGGGATTCTGAGAAGCTTGAGCATTTCACGACCGAGATCGGGGGCGGACGTGCGGGAGGCGGCGGCGATGAGGATGTTTTTCTGTTTGAGCTGACCCGATGTTAGTCGCTACATCGCATGGAGATGATCCTAGGCTTTCATGCCGCTTCCAGCACGCCCTCCACATCATTGTAGAAGCCAAAGCCCTCGTTATACCGGTCCTTCACCTTCAAACCGCCCTCCACCGCCTTGAGCGGGCCTGCTACGTGCGTGTCCACCCAGAAGGGCCATAGCGTGTAGTCGAGATCGAAGACGAATATCTTAGGAAGCGGCTGACCGTCTGTAAAGGTCGATGGCCATGAGACCTTCTCGGCGTTTGCGGTTGTTGTACCCGTCGACGGGGTGTCGGTCGATAGCGATGCGTGATGCCGGCGAGGCATGACGAAACTTGGTACGCGTAATATGGACGATCTTAGGAAAATTGCGAATGCGAGGGCGATCAGTTTCAACGTCAGAGAGCGATGGGGCGCCACGATGGTTGGTTGCTGGCTGTGTCGGTGAAGCAATTGCCCCCCCCCCCCCCCCCCCCGGCAGGCGCACGTGATGAGAAAAAAAAAGCGATGACGTCGACGCGTCAGTCGTCACTGATTGCTTTATCGGGCATCCTGGGAGTGTTGCCACATATTTCGCCAATCATACCTCGGTCCGATCGACCCCATAACGGCGTGACGGTTAGAAGACGATTACATGTGGAGTCGTTACGCGGGTTTCTCCATCTCATCTCTTGACAAGCCGGTACATGCCGCCCGGATTGAGAAACGGCAACTCATCACCCTTTCACCACATTGCAATGCAACGAAATGGTTTATGGCTGGAACTGGGCGTGTAGGATACAAAAGAAATCATTAGATGGATCGTCGCAACCGCTAACCGACATGCTAAACTGCCGATGAACGATCAGGGAACTGCTCGTCCGGGCGTCGGACATGCCAGAGTTGCCAAACACGGCCATACTGAGCCATTTCTGTCGCATGGTTCAACCTTATTTCCAACTCTAAGTATTAGACCACTATGGCCAGATCGAGGCACATACGTCTGCATATCGTCACGGGGTGAAGGGTGCGATGGGCAACTGGTGATCCAATGGTGCAAGCGCTGTCTGTTTTGGCATTGAACGAGTCGCTCGTTCTACGGTGCTTATCGGATGCATACAGTACAACTGAGCCAACACAAGATCCAGAACAGATTACACACATTCTGCTATCTGCGTTTCCAATTGCGAGGATTTGCCGGACTTGCTAACATGGTGCAGCACACCAGGGCTGCACCTTCCGCTTACAGTCTTCCAGCCACTACCAGCCCCGCAAATAACGGGCAGCGGAAGGATTCCCGCCTGACTTTCCGTTGCGTCAACTCTACACAGCTTTCTCAGACATGTCGCCGTGATTCAACAACCAACTAGGCATGAATGGCGGAGACGAGTGCTTGTCGCACAGTTATCAATCGCTACCAGGGACAGACGACTCATTAACTTTTTGACACGACGACGCCGCGAACCACTGTGCGAGGCGCCGTCTGCGAATCACGGGCGCGCTCAAAGCAACCGCCACAATGACCGACTTCAATGAGACAAGATCACCCCTCACAAACGAGAATGTGCAGAATTGGGCTCGCGCCAATTTCGCTGCGCCTTTTCGCGCGTTACCGCGCGCCGCAAGGCTCCATTGGATCGAGTTTGATGAGAGCTTCACTATCAGCAGAGCCATCTGGCGGTCGCTTGGCCGCTCCACCCACAAACAATTACTCGTCATCGGCGGTTATGCACCAGGACCCGCGGGAGACGACGACGAACCGACTGATCGTGTGACGGCCCACGTTCACGAAGATGAAGCCGAGGTCAGCTTCTACCGAATCGCCGAATTGGACGATGGCAGCAATGAGCTGCAGCCCGTGAATAGTACGAGTACCGTTGCTTTCCATGCGCCTTTTTGTGATGTCGGTGATGACATGGGCGGTTCAAAAGCTATACATCGCGTCTCAGCTCTGATTCTTTATTATTTCCTGGCTGCGGGACACGTGAAAGAGTTATGTCGGACAAGAGCAGACCCCACCATGTTTACCAGGAATTTTCGGGATGCCTGTCTATGGGTCCAGAATGAAGGAGAACGCCCATTATTACCACCATCGAGGAAATCCGAGCCTACTACTCCGCTCCAGCCAGATAGTCCAGCTGTTCGGCCAAAACGTTCGTCTACCGTCTGTATGTTGGACACACAATTTCCCCGGGGAGATGTATCTGTACTAACAACACGTGAAGCATTAACATCCCGGGTCATCAACGAAGATATCGGGGCTCCGCCTATCAAACGCGCAGCAACAGATAGTATTAACGTCAAAATTAAACGCGAACGCGACGAAGATTACCCCGGCATTCCATCTGGTATCCGTCCAAAGAAGCATCCCCGCCGTACCCTCAGCGAGCAAATCATCGTACCATCAAAACTTTCCGAAATAACAGCATCACATTCGTCCATTATGAGTCCACGGAGCCCCGCACCAGAACGCGTAAATCGCGCGCTAACCGACCGCATCAACCACCTCAAAGACGAAAACGCCGTACTAAAAGCTTCGGTAAACGGCCTCGAAACCGAAAAGACGGACCTCCAGCACCGTATGGCTAAAGAATCACATGCCTACCGTGGCCTGCAAATCGAATCCGACGCGTTGAAGAAGGAATCAGAGGCCATGAAGCGCGAAATGAATGCAATGAAAGAGCGGTTAGAATCTGTGGAAACTTCGGGCGAAAAATTACGCGTTGAAGTTGAGAGGTTAACGACCGTGGAGGAGGCATCGAAGGAATTAAGGAAAGAATTAAGAAATGAGGTCGAGGGGCTACGTGGGAGAGTGGAACGTAGTGAGAAGGAGGCGGAACACGCGAAAGAGGAATTGTTGGCTGTGAGACGGGGGCTGACGAAAGAGCTGGGTGATGCTGTCAAGAAGTGGGGTGCTTGATGAGATGAACACGTTGAATTTGTCTGGAAATAGGCATGTTTTTCGGCAGGTATCTTTATCCATCACGGCGCGGCAGAACTACTGCTACACCCAAAGGAATCTTATCGGCGCAAAGGAGTTTATGACGGCTTTTCTTTTATCGCAAATTTCGTTTTGTCAGGGAGGGAGGGAGGTGGGCATTGATACGAAGCGGCATCATCATCGGCGTAATCTGGCGACTTGACTTATTAGCCTTCACTTCTCCAGCAACAATCAGTCTTTTGGGAATCGACCACACATCGGTTCACACCCGGGACGTCTTTTTTTTTTCGTGGGCTTGATGTATTATCAGGTATTTTGGTTCTGCTAGGTACGCTATCAACAACTTTTAAACATATGTTGTGCTGTGCTATGTGATACCCCGGTTAAATCAAAAGTCTAATGAAAGGAACGTGAGAATGATAAAACCTCGGTAAGACAACTTTAATAATACAATACACGCTTTAAACGCCGATTAGCATACATGTACCAATTATATCATGCATATATGCCTTTCCACTTCCTCTTCAATTCCAGCATAAAATATCGCCTAGCGTTACCTCGCAGATACGAAGTGCGCCAATGCCAACTCCCTCCCCCGCACAAATACACGCGGGCACGCCCCTGCATACTGCTCACCGCCCTAACTCACCTTACCCTATACAGCAGCCGACAACTTGCCATGTTTCCCTCCCTTGAGCTTATTGTATTTGCCGCGGTGCACCTTGGGCCGAGGGGGTTGCTCGCGAGCGGTACAGCTGTGGTCAAGAGCGGGGATGCAGTTATACTTGGAAGCTGAGAGACCAGAGAGTTTCGTGGGTGCGGGGTCGGTGCGTCGGATGGTAGTTATCGGAGCGCGGGGTTGCTGGGTCGGAGCGGGGGCTTTGGTGGTGGGTTCGGCGGCGATGGTGGTGATGGTAGTCTTGCGGCTGGAATCGTATATGGAGAGAGAGGAGCGACGGCGGTGCGGGGCGAATGCGGGTGGGCATGGTTTGAGTTTCTGCTTTTGTTCGTTCTTGTCTGCAGGACGGCGCCCGATGCGCGGGGAGTGCTTGGGATTCAAGTCGCTGGATGGGATGGGTCGAGCGGGTAGGGACTCGTCATCGCTAGAGTCATTGCTAGTCATCGTGGCCTGGCTCAGCTGTGGGCTAGGCAGGGGCGCGGGTGTCTCGTCAAGGTCGATGAGCAGATTCGACATCTGACTATCACGTCGTGCGGCCGATACAGGTGCTGAAGGAGTCTCAGGCGACATTACAGAATCGATGCGCTTAAGAAAGCTGTGTGACTCCTGGTGTTTCGGCTCTTCGTTTCTCATGATAGACACACGCTCTTTGGGTGTCATCTTCCTGAACAACGTCGAAGGATCGGGAAAGTCACGCGCCTCGGCAGCGCGGTCTGCATCATCGTTACCTGCGAGCCTTCGCTGCATCCAAGTGGGGGCCCTCGCGCCGATGGCAGACTTCTCTTTCCACCACTGCGGAATGCTTCTGAAGCCTAGCTCATGAAGCTTCTCAATGCCCGGCATCTCATGCTTGAACTTGCAACCCACGGCTGTAAAGCTACATTCGCCTGTCCTTATCCAATGTGTGCAGTACTCCTTCTTCGAAGAGTCTGGCTCAATGCCGGAAGGCCACGGTTTAGTGAACTCTTTCTTGAATGGGTCGGGCTCAGCGCCGGAGGAGTTCGAGGCACGGTATCCCAGACGCTGCGCATCTTTCGGGTAGATAGACGCGAGCTTGTCGATCAGGGATGAAGGATGTTCAGAAAGACCCAGACCTGAGTCTTGCCGGTCTTCTCGCACACTCTCGGGACCAGGTGTCGGATGGGGCAATGGGTCAATACGAGTTTTCCCCGCGATTGCGGGTTGCGGTACGGCGCGCACATGGTGGTCCGGTGCCAGGTATCGGGGGGTTGCGGTTGGCTGAGGTGCCTGTACCGAGAGCAGCATAGGAGCCTCGTTGGTCTCGGAAAGGAACTTCCAGCCTTGGTCTGACATTTGACGGTGTGTCAGCTCGCGCGGAACCCCGTGAAGAAGGAACGGTAGCTGATCTGCGGGTACGAGAGGGACGATTACACTACCGCGCACATCGTTCTGGCGTAGAAGGTAATAGCGCAAGCCTTCAGGAAGCACGCAAGTCCTGCTGGTTTGAGTGGTCATGATGTATTTAGGGTGAACGAAAGGGGAAAAACGAGATATGGTCAACCGGGTATGTGCTATACGGAAGAGAGATGGCTGAGAAACGAGATGTAAGGAAAAGACGAAAGAAAAACCGTGAAAGCAGCAGGCGTTTCCTATATTAGCAGTTGTCTTACAGTCTGAGACAGCAAACGCACTTTGTGCTCTAGCAAACGGTTCTCAGCCGGTATCGTGCATGCAAACAACAAGCTACAGCCATAGGATGGATTCCTAACAACATTCTATGAGCTTGCCCATAAGCTTGACGTTGGAAGAGATTGAGACAATCTTTGGGCAATGCATCCTTAACTTGATGGATCTTCGAGGTTCCGCGTCCGGCTTGCTACGAACAATCAACGGTATCTGAAGTATCGAGACAAGCTGTTGGAGGAAAACGCGAAATGTCACCATGGAATTTCGGCAGGACCTTTTCGTTCCACTGGATCAAAATACGGGAGGGAAAGTGAGGCGACGTGTGGTCAGTCGAGGTGCGGAGTCTCAAGTCCCGACCAGTCCCTATATACAGACGTCCAAGAAAAAAATAAGAGGCTGGGGAGTTGTGCCCAGAGGTAAGGAGTCAGCCCTCGTATTCGGTATGCAAGAACGGTCATGTTCAGAAATGATTCCGGTAATGACGAGTCGCGGATGGCGGTGTTGTACGGATGGGCATAGTGACGAGAAGAGGGGTGCAATTTCGACCGGTCGGCGGCCAGACCTGCATAGCCACCCGATACGGCGCCCTTGTGCCGATCCATCTAGGCACGGCAGACGGTATCCTCCTAGCCGCGCAATTGCCTCGCCATTGCAACATTACAATGCTCGCCGACACCATTGCATTAGCCTAGATACTTAGCACTTGTGGGCTTTCCTCACAAGAATTCCTCATCTCTACCGTTACAGCTGGAACTCGTGAACTTTGACATGCAATGCTCCCCGCATCTCAACGGTCACCAGTCTGATCGACGAAGGGTATACGTACGTAAAGTTTCTTTACGAGGCGGACTTGTTTCGGCTCTTGTCATCTCACGCAGCATGTCAAACTTGGTTTGCTACCTTGGTAGTATTGCCGGGGTGTAGGAGTGATCTCCGTGGCGCGAGTGACAGCTCGCGTCGTAGCTAGTGGGTCGCTATTGGAACGCCCATTACTCGGTGACGAATGAAGCTCATGATGTGCCTTGCATGGTTTAGCAATGAACACGACCTTCACAAATGACCATGGGTCTCCGCGTGCGCCACATGACGGCGCTTCTGATCTTCTCCGGGAAGGATCCGAATTGAAGATCACCAAAGGCCCCTAAATCAAAGGCCAGATGTTTTGCACCCTCTGCAGGCGTCTACCATTCCGCACACACAAACATCCAACGGACCGCTCCCATGAACTATGAGACGGGGTACAACGCCCGCAGAATGACGAAATTTCCAGAAGCGAATGAAACATGAACAAAGCAGATCGAAGCTCCGAAGTCTTTGCTGTAGCCACTATCTTTTTCATTCTCACTTGGTTGACCGTGGGCCTACGTATCTACGTTCGCGCCATCTTGATGAAAGCATGGGGTAAGGATGACTCATACATGGTTGCGACACTGGTGAGTACCCACTTCAAGCGTATATACAGTGGACTATGCTGATCAACTGTCATAGCTAGCATTCACGATATATCTACCCTGCCAAATCGTTGCCGCCATCCACGGTACGGGCAGGCATCGCTGGCATCTCAGCGATAGCGACGCAAAAACAGCATTACTGGTTAGTACATTCTGGCGTTTAGAAATAGGTAGCTGACTTCGTGTAGTTCTGGTATCTTTGCGAACTCTTCTACGTCGTGACTAGCTGCTTCCTGAAGTTTGCTATCGGGTATTTTTACCTGCGATTCGCAATCGAGCCATGGCATATTCGATTTACACAACTGCTAATGGCAGGCACCGTACTATGTGGCCTCATTTACTTCTTCTTGGTTATGTTTCAGTGTACACCGAGTAAGCTCTAAGAAGGGATTTTGATATGCTACACTGGCTAATGATGCACAGTCTCTGAATTCTGGAACAAGCACCCTGCTTCCAGCAAGTGCCTGGGACATGGCCCAACCTTAGGCATCAGTTATTCTCTCTCTGTCGTCAATGCAATTGCGGATTGGGCGTTCGGTCTACTTCCCTGCTTCATTGTTTGGAAGATGGACTTGAGGAAGAAAACGAAGTTTCTGGTTGCAGGTATCCTTGCATTTGCCGCAATGTATGTTTTGTGACCAAAGTGGAAGGATTGTTAACTCACAGCCATCAGTGGAAGCACAGGTACGGTCATTCGAATGGGATACATACACAGTCTAGTGGACGGCCCCGACTTTCTCTGTACGAACTCTAGCGTTCAGCGAGTACCCCCTAACATTGCTAACCCGGTGATCCAGACGCTACCACTGATGTCGCCATCTGGAGTACTGTCGAGCCTGGAATCGGTATTGCAGCAGGCAGCATAGCCACTCTTCGGCCTTTGGTGCGCCACATACGGACGTGCCTAGGCCTTTCGAACCCAACGCCAGAAGTGATCAATCGCACCTACTATCCCTCCGTTAGCAATGGCCGGCGCAGACGTCGTCGCGAACATCGACGCAGCTTGAGCCCGTCTTATCTGATACCTACGGAGTTGGGCGACGTGACATCTATCAAAAGCCAAGAACGTCATGACGTAGACATTGAGAACTGCTCGCCTCCGCCAAATATCGTTGTGGCAGACCTACAGCTACCAGAACATAAGCCTATTCCGGCTGTGGAGGTTCAGTTTCCACCTGAAGGTCCACCCAAGCTTCATCTACGAGATAGCTTGAGACACAGCTTCACTATGGAGAGCATATTCAGTTCAAGCAGATGAACATACCGGGCTAAAGGATATAACATGCACTCAGGTCTCTCTACGTTCCCGTTACGAACTTTCTAATCCTCTTACACATCCGAGAAGCGCTGGTTCACAAAGTTGTACGGGTGGCAAAGTTCCGCTATCGCTTTAACCGTTCAAAGTGGGTTAGGTGCGACAGTTTTGGGTGGCTCGTTGGGTCGCTGTACCATGGTTACCAGAGTCGGAACACTACCCGATTACATCACACTATTACAGTCCCGAAAGTGAAGCTTATTTCCAAGTGCGAAAAGCTAAGCGCTACGTAAACGGTTGAAGTATGTGTCACTGACAAAGTCTGACGGGGTAGGCACCCGGTAGGGTCCATGATTATTCGATCATGTGACAAGAACCATAGTGTCACCCAAAATCTTATTTATTTGAGGATCTAGTGTTTCGACTATAATAAAGGGCCACCCATCCAGAACTATGCACTCAAATGATTTCAAACTATTACAAGGACGCACAAACTTCGCGATCGCGGACTCCGACGTCCATCTTCTACGACACACCATCAGCTCATCCTCTATTGTTCAATACGCCTTCAACATACGACGCGACCTATGAAGTCGATATTAAAGCCCGCGAAAGAAGTGCTGGTACGGTTGCATATGTGTGCGATTCACCATCACTTCTTTCACTGTGTACAAGTGAAAGAGTCGGCGTTGCGTCACTTGCACGCCACTGACAAATTTGGCCCCCATTCAACCTGACCGTTTGCTATACTGCAGTAAAAACATACGGTTCCACTTGGTTCCACTCTGCGCTTTCTCTCACTCGTTTGCCGCAGCTACCTCCAGAAGTCAGGATTGTGACAAGGGACCGACTGTCGCAATTCCGAGACCAGGTGCGCACCCTTTGAACGCCGCGATTATACATTTCTCGGGATTGCCAGTCATTCTCAACTATCAATCACAACCCAAAGCCAGCGCTGCCACATGCCAAACCCCGAACTTGTCACACTGCCAGGAAACAGCGATGTGCTTCGCGAGGCGTCTCATATGGCCAACATTGCGCGCTTCTTGCATCTGTGGAAGCATGCCCGAGCACTAGTTGGGACATATGGAACCTATACCACAATACGCAATACCACTGTTTTCCGCCGCGCATCCGCTCCCCGGTCGCGTTCAAGTACCGTAGAGCCATCCGACACAGAGATATTTCTCTCCCTCGATGCGGCCGAGACTGCCATCAATAGCGCACAACCCGACGGCGCCGCCAAAGACGATCTGCACTTCTTCAACAGCCTCTGGGAAACCACAATCGCAGTTCTCGAAGATATCCTAGCCCACGGTCCATTGCCCCAGGAACTTTTTGGCTGGGGCATCTTCGCTCTTTCAACCGGCTACCTTTACTCTCCATGCGACCGGGATATCTTCAGCAACCACAAGCATCGCCTTCGTTCAGCTTTGAAGATGATGCCATCACTGCACGGACGGAGGAGGAACGAATACGTCATATCTGGGAGTATAAGCATAGAGATGCATGTGAAGGCAATGAAGGAGATTCACACCGTGGGCCATATTTTGCTCAGCAGGTTTAGACAAGACGGGTGGAAGAAGGTGAGATGGTATCATGCGACCAGGGTTGCGGAGAGATGGATACAAGCGCTTGGTCTTGTGCCTGAAGAAAGGGTAGAGAAGGCGAATGAAATGGGCTCTGAGGACCAGGAAGCGCGCTCTGCGTTTACCTTTCCTTGAACCCGAAAACTCATGTACAAAAGTCAGAGTTTACATACCGTTGGTATGAATTGAGATAATTTTAGCACTCTGTACAGGGATAAAAGTTCAAAAGTTCTATCAAATTTTCACGGCCACTTTCATCAACTTGCGCATGCTAAAATTCGATGAAACCTAAGAATTTCCAAGTCATTCCTATACCTTCTAGTCTTACCTTAGTAGTGTGATGGCAGTGATTGTTTGGGATCTTAGAAGCTTAATCTTCTGGAGATGTTGCAGTTATTGTTTAGTTTTGGGCAACACTAAGGAAGGGGAAGGAGTGCACAGAAAGCGATACCCAGAACAGGCTGATCCACGCGATGGTCGTATCTAGCCTTCCCTACGCAGAATCTAGAGACAACGCTGTTTACCCAAGGAAACAACACAAGATGTCGGATGCCGAATGCCGAATGCCGGCATGGTGCCTTCCAAAGCCTGTCAGCTAAAAATGAGCCAACACAGCATCACGGGATGCCTCCAGCCCCATCCTCCAGAAACCAGAGATCAATACTGGTCCTATGCTAATTGCTGCTAGTCGTATAGCGTTTTCTTTCTTTCATATTCCACTGCAAAATGATTACTTTCAAACTATTCCTCCGACCCTTGACCCTGCTTACGACATGTGCATCCGCCGCCCAGTCATCCTCCACATTCAGTACACCTTCTCCTAGCCTCATAACATCTTTGAGCAAGATTCCTGGTACTTCATCTATTACCCACCCTAGCTATGCCTTTACCGGATTATCCGGTATCACCTTGTTGGCATCAGCTATTTCCGGAAGGCAAAATACTACTGCCACCACCTCAACCACGACGCCGGAGGTAACAGTCCTAGTGGGACTGGGGCCTCCGACCGAACCCTCCAACAGTATAGCTTCAGCAAACAAATCCCATCATCTTCGGCCAACCAACATTCGGCCTTGCAATGGTTATGTCGAATTCTGCGAGCGCAAGTTTTCCAACGTATCCATGGTCGCTGCCCACAATAGTCCCTTTGTGAGACTACACAACACAGCCAGCAATCAGATGTATCCAGTGCTTAATCAGCTGAACGATGGAATTCGAGGATGTAAGTTTCTTGCGGAGTCCTATAGTAGACCGACTGACGTTGACTGATAGTGCAGTTCGAGACCCACAAATCCAACTCTTCTGCTGAGATACACCTATGCCACACCTGGTGCAATATTCTCGATGTAGGTACCCTCGAATCATACCTCGCGACCGTGAAGGGCTGGTTAGACCGCAACCCTTTCGAAGTCATTGGCATTATCATGGGCAACAACGGCGATGGTACGAGGATACCAGCAACGGACTACATAGCGCCCTTCCAAGATTCTGGGATGATGGAGTATCTGTGGACACCGCATTCGATCACTATGAACTTGTCCGACTGGCCCACCCTGGCAGAGATGATTATAAGAAACAAACGTGTGGTAGTAATGCTCGACTATGGTGCAGATCAAGAGCAAGTTCCGTGGTTGCTCAGCGAGTTCAACTACCAATGGCAAACAACATTCTCACCCAAAGATTCCGCGTTCCCGTGTACACAGCAACGACCTCCAGATCAAGTAAAGGAGATATCCGGCGAGCGCATGTACACCATGAACCATAACTTGAATATTCCACTCAACTTGTTTGGGTACCACATTTTGATACCAGCACACACACTTTTCGACCAAATCAATGCAGTTTCCGGCTACATGAGTCTTGGGCTCAATGTTCAAACTTGCAGGCGCATGTGGAACCGCCCGCCAAAATGGATCCTCGTCGACTATTACAACTATGGTGACTTTAATGGATCTGTCTTTGAGGTGGCGGCAGTAGCCAACAACGTCATATTCAAAAAGAGACAGTGCTGCGGGTCTCACGTCATCAGCGCAGCAAGTATGCTCAACCGCCATGGGTCACTCGCGGCTTGTTCACTTGGGATGGTCTTCTTAATCCTGTAAATGAGAAGGACTGGGTTGATAAGAGCCGGTCATATCTCAGATTTTCTCGTAGTGGCAGTCAGTTCGGCCCCACAAAATTATGAGTACGAACCACGGTCGAGTCGAAATTCCGTGTGCTCATATTTATACACCCCCCTTTCTTCCTTGGGCATTTTATGGTAAAGAAACCGATAAATGAGGCGCTATTGGAGTTTTCACGGGCTATATAAGCATTCTCTCTTCACTTGTGGTCGCTTTAGTAGATTCCTTCTTCTCTAATCAATCAAAGTACTATCCTTGTCAACCTTGGTAACTGGTTTAGTGAACCTTCAGTTCGTTATAAGGCATCGGACTTTTGACATTTTGTCCTACCTCGTAGGCCTAGGACTTGTATACTAATTTCTCGTACAGTGTTACACTCTCGTCTTGGATAGCGCTGATACCCAACTCTATGGACCTCTCTACTCAGCCACACGATTTGATTCCGATAGCAAACAAGATGTCTGCTGAAGCTCTGAATGAAGAAACGGCACCTGAGCGGCAGGGGCTCAACGACGAACATTTCAGACTCGTGGATCTTCCGATTGAGATACGTCTGCTTTTCTTCGAGTTCGTTCTAGGTCCTCTTATCTATTTGTTCAGCAAGATATCTAATAGCGCTCTGCTAGGCCAGATCTCTATGGTTCACTTCCATCTGGGCTATTGCTTGACTCGTAACCCGATTCTTGCGCTTCTTCTTGTCAACAAGCTCACCCATCACCAAGCAATGCAAGTATGTTGGGAGAACACGCCAAAACACCTCACCTCAACATCCCATCTTTACATGGTCCTCTTGACAGACATCAAGCCCGCATACAACTGGCTAAATTACCTTGTACTCGACTTTATCATGGACGAATGGTTCGGTTTCCTCGGCGTCCTCACTGGTCCAGACTTCTACATAGAAAGCGATTGGTCTTTCGGGGAAGTGTTCAATATGCTTCCCACCCTAAAAAGTCTTCAACTACGATTCCGCGATTCCAGAGGATGTTGCAAGTACGATCCTCACAACAACAACACTCCTATCTGCCAGAGTATCTTGGTGGACTGGGTCATGACGTTTGCCTGGTCCTACTTCAAAGACTTACCAAACGTGACTCTCGGTGGGGCTGTCAAGAAGGATACCAAGGCCGCGTGGGACCAATGTCTTGCGCTGTATAAAAGGCGAGCGGACCCTTTCTTCGATCATCGCGCTGCAGAGGCAGCGATCTTTAATGCACCAAAGTCTTCTCTGTAAGTTTTCAATCCAAACATCAACTGCTTTGTACCACTAACAAATTTTATAGGCCGCCCTCTTGCTTGTGCGGAGCTCCATGGGTATTTCAGGATACTGTTGAGGACGGGTTTTACGATGAGCTTGATCAGTGGTCTGTATGCTTATCTGAGTTGAATAGGAGAATTTAGAGGAGCACAATACATTGGTGATCAGTCATCGAAATATTCGGTCGGCTAATCGCCGTTGACAGAAGAGATGTATTCTTCGGGTTTCTAACATGCTACGACTAAGCCATCATAATCTTTTAGGACATTGAATACACGGGTATGGGCCGAACAAAAAATCGAATAGAATTGACTAGCATATTCCTGCGATTGCCGCAAAATTAAGTAGCGTTCTAAGTCGCGACACTCGTTAGAATGTTCTCCATGATCGAATGAGTGTGTTTCTCTCGTTATGGTCACTCTACAGGCTAGTGGTTGTCATCGATCGCAAATCTGCTGCGTCGATGTAATCATGTAAAGAATTTTTGGATGCGGTAGTTTTGGGGGTGGTGCCTCGGGTCGACTGAACCATGGTACCAGTGTCGAGTTTACTCTACAAACGACTAGACTTATCGTCGTGCACTGACGTCCACGAGCAATATCTTCTAAATTCACCCACGACGTCCACAAATCTCCGTATCTGTTCTGCACACACAAAGAACTCTCAAGTCACTTCTATCACAACATCTCAAACCCAATACCATCGCAACTCCAACTGCGGAAACCTAGCTTACCCAAAGTGGCGCATCTAGTCCCCCGATCCTGCATTCACTTGCTCATTCACTCCGACCGCACCACCGCGCCACGCACGGACCACGCACTTTGCCACAGAAACGCACAAATCACGTTACTCCAAGGGGTGCAGCAACCGCCTTACTAGTATATGTAAATATTTTTGCTCTGCGCAACTCTTTCTCATCAACCACTTCCCCTCTCAACTCGTCGCCAGAATGGGTGGTCTCAACCCCGCTGCGGAGCCTTTCAAGCATAGCGACTACGAGGTGTATGGATCTGAATCTGGCGCGAGGGAATTCTACCCTGCGGCGCGACTGCCAGTTGTTGAGCCGGAAGGGTATGTGGGATATTGTGTCCAAGAACCGCCTGTGGACCACGATGCTTACACATACGACCAACATCAAATGGATTTCTGGATGGATGATTCACTACTGATGGGGCAATATTTTGAGCCTGAGAAGCATCAAACTCTCAGCTACTACGATATCTCTGGCCCCTACCTCGCCTTCAACGATGTCCAAGCACCCGTCTACCGCCACACCACCGAAGTCCATGAACCGGAAAAGGCCACACATACCTTTAACGCCAAAGCCCCGGCTTTCACCCCTACCAAGCTCTCAAAGCTCAACCCCACAGCCCCCAACTTCCTCCTCAGCCGCCTCGCCATTTTCGACCCTCCCTCCGGCAACCCCCAGGCCCGTCCCAGAAAATGCATGCTCGTCCTCCCCAACGCGTGCGAAGAGAACATTACAGACGACCTCTCTATGCTGAAGATCCCCCAAGACGGCCAAGTCGGCCGCTTCACCATGGAAACAACCTACAAGTTTAACAAAGGCTTCCACCACAACGACGTCGTGCTAGGCGCCATTTACGACGAGGTGATCGCGCTGCGGAAGAAGGATATCAGCTTCTTCACTATCAAGCTCGAGGTGAACCCTGTAAACGACGCGCCTCCGCTTTGGCCGCCGGGACGCAATCTGTTCGACGTCAAGGCGTATTACTTTGAGTCCAAGGAGAAGTATGGTGAGAAGAAGGATATGCTTTGGGTTACCATTTTGCCTCATGGATCGCCGCCGAACGCCGACACTATTCATGTCTTTGAGACTAAGAAGCAGAAGTGGGTCGTTCTTGGGGAGTGGCTGCGTGCCTGCTATTGTTTTGGCATTCGTCTTCCAAAGCAGTCGCGTTTGAAGCTGCGGCCGGACTTGGTTGGTTGGCCGGGGTATAGCACGCATTTCAAGTGGTGGAAGTATGTGGGTAGTTCCCACCGCTTTGAGACTTTGCCTAGCGAGCTTCGTACGAAGATTTATGAGTATGCTCTGGGTGGTGAACTCTACCCCTTGGGTTCGTCAAGGATACCTCAAATTACCCTAGGTTTGGGTTATCAACCTTCCTTGTTCAAGTTCGGGACCGATATCTGGGAAGTCATGAGCCGTATGGACAAGTTCGATCGACATGTACCAGAAGATCGGCCTTCTGTGTACGAACCGCAGGTATCAATGCTTGCTCTCAATAAGACGATACGTGGTGAAGTAATTCACACAGCATGGATGCTCATGCGTAGCTGCTTCTTCAATCGAGGCCTCTTTGAGAGTGCAATCAATGCACCGCCGGGTGCTGCAGAGCCGTACAAGTACCTTGGCAAAATTGAGCTGAACTTTACAAACTATGGGTATTTCGGTTTCTTTGGGGTTACCGTGGGGACGAATCGCCTGCATATCACGGCCTCATCGTCCCTTGGCCCGCGTCTGCAGGCGTTGGAGAATCTGCACGATCTGCATCTTCGCTTCCGCACGCCCTCTGATGGATACAGTGGTAGCGCCTTGTACAATCTCATGCATAACACGGATGATAGACTTGATCTGTATGACAGGCATTATAGCCTTGATCTAAAGGGCGACTGTCAGCGTACGGTGGTTGATTGGATATGCACATTCGCCTATCCCTTCCTAATCGACAAGTGCAAGCAAGGAAAGTTGAAGGTCGCACTTACCGGCGCTGTCAAGACAGACACGAAAGAAAAGTGGGAGGCGATCTTCAAGGACAAGCGCGAGCATGACCAGGCAGCAGCTATGGCCGACATTTTGAACAAACCGAGGAACGAACTGCAAGTCTGCCTTTTTCAATAGTTGATATTATTCGAGTACTAATACTTTACCAGCCCACCTCCATGTAATTGCGGCACACCGTGTAAGCACGATAGCTGGCGCCGTGACGGTTGGCGCCGTGACAATTCTGACTGGTACTTTAGAGAAGGAGATGGTTTCGATCCAGACACATAGTCTTGGTGTGCAAGACGCCCAGTCCCGTATTGGAGCCATGGAGTATCACGATACGAAATAAGCAAAGCTGAATTCCAAGACATTGAATGGGCAGGACTGTAGTTGGTGAAAACGGGTATCGGCATGGGGAAGGAGATAGCACCTGTAGCACCAACCAAGATCAGTAGAGAATTGGTCATACATTTTGATCATGGGTATCTCATCTACATATGAAATCGTACCGTGCAACTCATAGCATCCGCATGCTCATCCTCGTTGGAGCCGTAGTGTCCAAACGAGAAGATGGCCGGACTTGGTCGTCAATCTTTCCCAGCACTTAAAAGACCATCTCGTGCGGCCTCTCGTTGCTACGCAGACTGAAGCTGGAGCCGAGGTATGACTCGAGCTCAGGCGTCCTCTTGATGTTTGCCATGAGCGCCTTGTCCACCTTCTTCTGGTCTTCTATCCGCTGGGGATCCGTCTCCTTCTTTGTGGGTGTCTCGCCGTCCTTGAAGAACTCATCCTCGCCCTTTCCCTCCTTCTTCTCACGAGCCCAGTACTCGTCCTTGCTCACGCGCGAAATGACCTCCTCATCCAGACCTGCGATATCGACAACGGTGGAAGTAGCGATGACGTAGCGGTGGTTGACGCGGCGGAGTGGCACACCGTTGGACTTGAAGGGGCCGGTGATGAGAAGAACGCCTTGTTCGAGCTGACGCAGCAACACAACGCGCTTGCCGCGGAAACGACCGGAAAGGAGGATGAGGACGGTGCCTGGGGTGAGAGACTCGCGGTATTTGGTGGGGTGCGCGGTCTTGCGGGCCTGCGAAATGTCATGTTAGTTCCTTCCTCAACCACAACCACACTGGCCGCCTCTTTATGCATCTCCTTCCCCAATACTTGAAATTGACACGAAAATTACCCGTACCTTCTTCACAATAGCCTCCTCCTCAGCAGGGTAGTACTTGGAAGCCTTCTGGTCGCCCATTGTGGTAGACATGTCGAGTTATGAGTCTGGGAATCAATTATTATGTGTCGCATATATAACAGCTACAGCCTTACCAAGTTGTAGGTGCTCACAATTTGTTTTGTGGTGTTGGTGATGTCGCCGTCGTGATTTCAAGATGTTCATGTGCGGTCGCTCGCTAATATCAGCCCTATGACGCTAGTGGTCCCTGCAAACCATCGTTCACATGCATCCAACTGCGCCAAAGAAGACTTGCATGGTGCCCATGTCGTATAGAAAAAGTATGAACATACCGCTTTAGGCGTTCGCTTCTTTCTTCTGTTTAGTCCGATATTCCGCTGAAGTATTGTATCTGAAGCATCATCTCCTGAAGACGGGCTTTCAACTCCAACTCGCCTTGTGTATCAGAGCATCTCAGATGTCCCAAGATACAATTCCCCACTAACTGATTCTTCACAAAAGGCCCCTCTCGTCATGAAGCCAAGCCAAGTAAAGATTTCGGCTGCTCCATCTGCGGCTCAGGGTCAAACTCCTGCCCCACAGCCTCCCCAGGCAAATTCTGACACGCATATCCCCGCCCCCACTCCTTCTGAGCAAACTACTCACCAGCCGGCTCCTTGAGCGTTTCACCATCTCGTGGCTATACTTAGTAAAGGGAAAGTGGAGAGCATTAGCAGACACAAGCACCGAGAGTTATTAATAGTAATCGCATTATTGTACAAACTCTTGAGCCAGTCGTTATCTGTACAAGATTATAATATTACAAGCCACTCAGTAGCTCAATCATCTCTTCTCCTTTGTCACTTGCTGAGCTGGGGTCATTGTAGCCATCGCCCTATCCATGCCGCTCCATTTCCTGACAAGATGCTGAACACCGACAGGCAATACCCCAAGTATCTGAATATATTTCGAGTAGAGGGGTAGACAGACTTCACCGCTCTCGCCTCTCTCAATCAGTCTTATGATATCCTTGCCAATCTCAGCAGGTGTGACGACAGGCGCAAAGAAGTTGCTTGGAGTTTTCAGGCCCGCAAACATCTTTGTACCCATCTGACCTGGCTGAACTAGAATTGTCTTGATCTCCTTCGCGTCAGGGTTCTGTGCAAGCTCGGCACGCAGAGACTGGTGTAGCGCAAGAAGCGCGGCCTTGGAGGCTGTGTATGCGGATAGGTTGGCTGCACCGAGGTGGCCTAGTACGGAGGAAACAGTGACAATGGTGCCACGCCCTTCTTTCAGCATGTACGGGACGAATGTGCGTAGGGTGTTGAAGTGGGCCAGCGTGTTTACTCGGAAGGTGCTGTTGATTGTGTCAGAGGAAGTCAGAATAACCATGAATGTATACATACCGCTCCACTTCTTCAGCAGTCGAATCGAGGATCGACTTGGTGTGCATTATGCCGGCATTGTTGATGAGAATCGTCGGAGTCCCAAGCTGTTGGTGTATTAGCATGGCGTTTACTTCCTGTGCCCTGACACTACTCACATCTTCACAGATCTCTGCTGCAACCGCCTCCACTTGCTTCGGGTCGCTCACATCACACTGGTAGTACAGCACTCCAGTGTTCTCTGCTACTTCATCGTCCACCTTCTTTGTATCCAGAACAGCAATGTTTGCGCTTCGCATGCCATATGTCTCTGCCAGTAGTGCGCCTAGGCCTTCAGCTCCGCCTGTTACTACAATGACTTCGTCCTCCAGGTCTACCTCGCGATGCGCTCCCCACGCGATCCGGTCGCTGATGAGGCCGAAGAGACCAGTGACTGTCATGAGCATAGCCCAGGCCATGGCAATGCGCATTTCTGGGTTCTCATACGGCGTGTACTGCGCGCGGAGGCACAACACCACGACCCATGATACAAATGGGTGAAATATGGTGTATCCGAGGACGTACCATATGACGTCGACGTTGAGGTAACGGTGCCATGGCTCATCGGGACGATCGAACCTCTTTGGTAGCTGTACGGACACTTCCTTCACTGGGGGAGACATAGCGGACAGGTCGACATAGGAAGCGTGGTGGACCATTGCGGATGGCGGGGCGCGTATTGGCGCGTATTTGAGGCTTAGACGCGAATCGGAAACTACGTTTAGCTATTACAGCAACAACAATGCTATCCGGGAGCAAAAAGTGAAAAATGTGTGAAGAAGAAATCTACTAAAATGCAACATGGGGCCATGGTGTTCTTATTGCACTGTCGCTGGTGCTGAAGGGTGTTATGTTTCATGCCCGCCTCAGGTCTCTGCGCTGCTCGTCAAAGTTGCTTCGACCAGGAACCTCGGAAAGTTTCAAGCCTCGCGCGAGTCTTAGTAAGCATGCCCTCTTCCAACCAACACGTACTCAGACACTTTTAGTGTCCAGACTCTTTCTTTGGATGTTGTGCATATATCCAAATCGACTGCTATCTTGGCATAGTGTGATGAAAGCCATGTCTTCGGCCATTTCCTCAGCCTCCTGCTGCCCGACTGAACGGAAAGGATGCTGAGGGAAATCGCAATGCCCTTACGCCATCACCTACATTCGTGACTGAGCTCTTTCCTTTTGTAAGCTACATGACGTTTGTTGACACACCAAATTGGGTGTTTTTGATGGCGTGCATCAACAGTTATGGCTGCACCTGCGATTCGTACCATTACATCTTGCCCTACGCAGTTGTTGAAGTCCAAAAAGACAGCCTGCAGTAGTCAGGTTTGATGGATAAGGCCAAGTAACAACCCAAGAAAATATACGATAGGTGGGGGTGAGGAATTCTGTAGTACGTGAAGTGTACCTCCTGCCGCCGCATCAAGTGTTCTTCCCCGGCAACCTCATGTTCGTCATCGTAACAGCAACAGGCACCCTCCAGCGCAGGAAAGATGTCCCCAGAGACTGCCAAACGTCATATGCACAGCAGCACCCATAAAAGAGTCTCTTTCGCCATTTATCTTCATCTCTTCTACATCCCACTCTCAAGTTGTTTTCCCCCAACTGCATTGCCCTTGGTCTTCAACATCAAACATACAACCCAACTTCATTAGCAACATGCTCGGCCAGATCCTCACCGTGGCCGCCCTTATGGCTCTCACCCAGGCCAAAGCCATCGTCACCAACAACTGTCCCTTCACCATCTACGTCTGGTCCGTACCCGACGTCCCTCATGGCTCTAGGGCGAAGAACCTCCCCATCAAGTCTGGTGGTCGTTACCAAGAGCCCTGGCGCCTTGGTAGCGTCAAGAACCCTGGAGTGTCCATCAAGATCTCATCACGTACCAATGGCATCTACGACGGTGCTGACGAGATTGACTTTGCCTACTCCATCGATCCCAAGGATGACTCGAAGATCTGGGTTGACCTATCCAAAGTTCGCGGCGAGCCGCCCAAAGTCCGCTTCCATACCTGCCGTGGCGAATTCTTCTCTACAAACCCTGGAACCGTTCAGTGTACAGCCGCAGATGAGGTTGAGCTGGTTCTTTGTGGACCCACTCGCTCGACCCTAGCTACGGACACTGCGTCACTCGAACAGATCAAAGCTTGCTATGATGACAAACACACCGCAAAGATCGATTATACCAGCAGCGGCAGCAGCAGTGACAGCAGCGATGACGAATGGTTTGACTGGTGGGAGGCACGCAAACAGGTGCAGTCCTCGAGCGCATCACAACCCACAGACTCAGTTCCCGACTTTTTTCCCGACGCAGCCTACCGCGACTACCATGCGGCCCAGGAGAAGTCGGACGTCCCTCAATGTCAAGCCAAAGTCTTCTACAAGCGGTCTCAACGCATTGCGGTTCCATCAGACACAATGGAGACCGTTCCCGCAGACACAATGCAGTACACATCAGATAACAAGACTCTCGCCTTGTGCAACCTTCTTCAACTGTTCCACCCCATGACAACCATCGACTGCGATGAAGTGGTCATGAAGGATCGCGCCGAGAAACTGTATCCTCGAATCTGCGACCCTGCAGTCGAACCACTGTTGATGGGTTTCCCATGCCAAGAAGTCAAGCATGAACTCCGAACCAAATACCTCGATTCGAGCATCGATGCTGCGCAAGAACTAGCTGCCTTGCTGGGAGCCACCGGAACAGCTACGGTTGTGGCAGGCACCGCAACAGTCACCATTGTGGAAGCCGACGATTCAGTCACCATGGTGGAAAACGACTCAACACCTGTCTTGGCAGGGAACGCCAGGAAGATTGGAGCTAACGCGAGTTCCGACAAGGAATGCTTCATGACTCATTGCGTAGACGATTATGAATTCCCGTCCACGACCTGCGCCACACTGGAGCACATCGCCCGTAAGGTTCTAGAAGACTTTGACCTCGATTGGTACAAAGTCTTCGATGCTTCTTGTCCCAGCCCAGAGCGCGGGCCTGATGCCACCCAATTCCGCTACGCCGACGCTCTCTGCCACGAGCACAACAAGGACAGCAAAGTCTGCCGGGGCCTAGATAGATTGATCCGCGACTTTGCGCTGGACTACTACCACAAGGACGTCTGTTTCACTACTGACAAACAGAAGTGTGAAACTTGAGGTTAGATCAGGGGTCACGTGATGGAGGAGGCTAGTTTGTGGTTTTGTATCGTTTATTCTCTTTTCACTCCTCGCCTTTACTGTTTGTATGGCTTAGCTTCTGTATTCTCATTACCTGCTACGTAGTCTAGCGTAAGAATTGACTACCCTTTCATGTTCAACCTTGATCCTTTCTTTGGTTCCATGACCCGTCTGTCGCGAGTGCATCCCAGCATGTTCATTGACCAAGCCCAACTTGTTCCTCGTGTTTATGTGAGCTCGCCAGGTCTCTTTCAACCACATCCTCCATCTTCCCCTCCATCCAACCGGCTCTCCAGGCTTCCTCCTCAGATATTACCAATACACAGGTTCAACACCGAAAAACCTGCTAGCCGCGAACTCAATCGCTAAAACTCTCGTGAAAGAAATGAATTAAACATATGCACATTTTGTACGTGTCACCCCCCATCTCAACCTCGACCCTGCCCCGGTAAATGCGACCCAAAAATACCCACCTTGATCTTCGCCGGCGTCTTCGGCGTCAACGGCACACTAGCCATGGCATCCCCAAACTCAAAATACGAACTCTTCTCATCCACCGGATACTGCGAATCCGGGGTCGCGGCTCCATCCCCCTCCTGTCTCGACCCCACATTAATCTTAACATGCCCGTCGTCATCGCCCTTTAGGTTGACAATTAACGAGCCATTACCAACATCAGGATCAGAAAGCAGCCAAAGATGTTTCATGCGCCTGCCCTCCCTGCGCTCCATGATATCGTCCGCCGCAGACGCGATATCCGCGCCGCCCCTAGACGCAGCGATGATAAGATCGCGAGGATCGAGATAATTGAAACGACCGAGACCGGACCAACCACTCGTGCGCATGGCTTCAAACGCAACGGCGCAAATGACGAGGAGGTTGAAAGTGAAGATTGCGTAGATGTAGATCGGTTGACCAAATTTCAACGCGTAGATGTGGACTTCGGCTGGCTTCTGCACGCTCATCTTGCCGACCATGAGTTGTGCGGAGGCGTAGGCAACGAGCATGGTATCAGCCATTGAAATCATGCTTTCGCTGACAGCGTGCATGACGCCTTCTTCCTCGGTAGTGGCGCTGAGGTTCTGAGACGCGCGCGACATTCTGTAGGCGGCGATGCTGGAGTTGAATGCTTCGCCTAGGAGGGAAACGTACAGGTTAGTCATGTCGTTTGACATGAGCTCGAATTGGCGGAGGACGGTGCGTGTGATGTTTCGCTCTGGATTAAAGTCTGGTACTGTTTTCACGGGCGTGACGGTGATGTTGAGACTGCCAATGTCGACGGTGATGTTGAAGAGGGTGGGGGTGAAGTCGAATTCGCATTGTGTGTTGTTGAGGAAGGCGTAGGCTTCGCCGGCTGCGATGGAGAGGTAGCGCCGGGGTGAGCGCTCGCTGAATGCGACACCGATTGCTACAATGGCTTTGCCATCGTGGCCGATGTAGTTGGAGTACTCTGGTCCTTCTTCGCTGTCGGGGAGGTTGCCGGATGCGGCGTATATCCATTCGTTGACGGGGCCGGAAAGCGTAAAGTCCGAGGTGCGGTTGTAACTGCAGGTGACGTTTGCCAAGTAACCCATCTCTTCGTAGATGTAGCCTGCAGCGTAGGTGTTGGAAGTGATGCTTTGGTCCATTAGTCCGACTGCGGCTCCTACACCATAGGAACGGCCTAGATAACTGAATTGCGTGTTGTCGGGCTTGCGATGGATATGTGGCTCTAATCCAGAAGATGCTTCCGCTGCGGCTGCTAGGATCTGTCCACTCTGTTGTTGACCAACCGAATAGGTGAAGAACCCCTTTTGTGTGCGCAGAGATGGTCCCGCGCTACCTATCATCATCGGATACTCCTTGATCAGGGAGACATCTTCAAAGCTTGGGATCAGAAGCGAACCGCCCTGCACTGTGGTAGAGACTGATGCTGTCATCGCACCAGCCCAGAGAGCGGCAGGCACAAGACTGAGGAAGGCTGTGAAGAGAACCGGAAAGAAGAATCGTAGGGGTAGGTCCCAGTCCACTTTCATCAATGTCATAAACACCCATGTTCGCAACACATCCAGTGACACGCTAACTCGCGCAAGGCGAATTCGAAGTGCATAGTTGAATAGTTTGCATATGACGGCAAGATGCAAAAGACCAAACGATGCGGCGAGGAGTTGAACGACAAGCGCAGCGGAACCCGGAAACTTGTTGGCCAAAGCGAAGAGTTGTCCGGTTACACGCCATTCGTAGAGCTGAGCCAATAAAAGTATCGTCGAGAGTGTTGTTGTAAGAGAAAGTCCGTAGAAAGTATTATATCGTCCCCAATGGCTATATTTCATGGACCGGCCATCGTCTCCAGTTGCTCTCCGGTCAGTAGGCAGAAAAGTGAATTGACGAACCATTACTAAGATATTAGATAGAAAAAAAGGTCCGGCCAGCGGTTACGAAGGGAAAACGAATGTTGCACCAACGAGTGACAGGTACATGTAGAACGATGCAATTGACAGTTGACATCTTCCATGATGTTTGCGTTCGGCATAGTCACCTACCGTGCGCATATGTCTTAACAGTAGTTGTATCAGATGCGGCGAGACTCATGCCTGAGACCCTAGCCCCACTGGAGAAGGCCCGGTTAGTGGACAGCCTCAACCGCAACTTCGCCCGCATGAAGGCATATCTGTGCAATCTATCGCTATTGAGGCGACAAAGACGCCCAAAATAAATGGGGTCCTGAAGGGTGTGTTCATGTATCGGCGGGGCTGTGTACGCAATTGCGCAATGCACCTCACGAAGCCTTCCAGGAGACGCGAACATGCCAAGCCACCCCCAACGGCCGAGCTGATGTTGCGGGGATGCAGGGAGAGAGCCATATCCCCCAGATGATCAAAGTAGCAAGCCACCTGTCGAGGATATTGGTGGTGTAGAGAAGTCGGACGGGCCTGAGAGTGCAAGGTTGAAACAAGCGCTACGTCAACCAAGTGTGAACGGGTTCACGTGCCGTGTGGCTGGAGATTCCCAGATCTGAAAAGATGCCGCGCTTTTCCCGGCTAAGGCTTTTTCGTTCGTACCAAGCTAGAAGGGATGAAGGCTGTTGGTGCATGATGTCGCCATGGACGCACCGCCACGTGACACCAATCACGGTGAGGAAGCACAGACGAATGACATCATTCGCATCCACGTGTCACGAGCGCCAGTGTAAGCAGACAGCGTACCCATCAATTGCACAAGTAGCTTCCACAAAGAAAACACAGATGGATAGCGGTAAAGACAGCACATGGATGACCTTAAAACCTCCCGCAGGTTTCCACCCTGGTCGACCTACACCGATTCCACCAATCAGGACCCATTCTTTCTCAGCTAAGACATGCTTCTGAAACCGCCCGTATGCATGCAGCATCAACCCACGACACGTTTGATCTACGATGCCCAAACTTCGACTCCTGCATATACGACATTTGCTTTTATTGCCTTGCGATGCTGACCTCGGGTTGTGGAGCGAAGAGCAACCGTGCTTACCGCCTGTTGACGTGGACTTGTTATGGATATTGCGCGGGTGAGAATGGGTAGCATTGAAGGCCTATTTGCTGATCGGTCGCAGCTTCTGTTCGACAAGATGCAGTAGTTTAGGAATTAGTTGGCCCTGAAAGCCTTGTGATAGACACGGCTGGTAGGCAGCCATGCAATCTACATTTATGAATCGTGTATGGTCGTTCAACTAGTCAGCCCGACGTGGCTGCGCATGCGGCCGGTAAAGAAGCGTAGTACGAGGCAGAACAATTGGGTGACAGGACCGCATTAGATACAACCCGCGTCGTAATATTGTCGTGGCTTGTACCAGACTGTACACCTGCTGATAAAGTATGAAGCGTATAGCGTGGTGTGATACGGAGTGTTGGTATTGGCCTGATTCAGTTAGCAGATCGCGCTTTTGTAATGTGCAAAGTTCAACATGTACGCTTAGCCGCTTGACGTGCATTATCGTACCCATTCTCTAGCCACGTATTGATGACTCACGCATGCAGCTTATTTTGACTGGTCCCGTCCCGGAAGACGTGCAGATGGATAGCCGTCGGACCGTAGCGTACCAGAGTGTCAGAATATAGGGAAATTGCAAGGAGAGCATGACAGCGTCATTTCCCGAAGCGAAACGTTTGCACTATTGCCAAGAAAGGTGGATTGAAATGTTTTGATAAATTCATTACTCGCGATAACCCGCAACACGGGCAGGGAGCGAATATAGCTAGACTACTGTGGATCGTCGTGCCGACGGAGAAAATGCTAATAGATGATGATGATATCCAACGCCGGTACAATGCTGTTGTGCAAATGCTAAACATAACGCCTACTGATGCAAAGTTAAGCCGATGGGCGGGAGATGTCCATCCAGTGAGCATCTTCCAACCAGATTGTGTCATCCATAAGACACCCTATGATCTCTTTTTCAAGACCATCAACAATGAAACGAAAAAAAAAGAAAGTCGTGGGTCTAGTAAACGAAAGTGTTTGACAAAGCGAATAGCATTAATAGCCGGTCTGTCGGCCCGCATAGGCACCGGTCTGACCGAACATTCTGCTGAAAAGGCCACCCGCCGACGTCTTGACCTTCTTGGAAGGCTGAGTGTCGTAGAGCGGGAGTGAGTGCTGCTGCTTTTGGGCGTATGGGATAGGACCATTGATATATACAACATTGGCGCCTTGGTCGGCATCGTAGCGCTGCAGGACAGTGTCGGAGGGCTCGTCGTGAATGCTGATGGGAGATTCCGACGAAGTGGAGCTAGAGGAGCTTCGGGTGGGGGGTGATAGCGATGGAGTGCGTGATTGAGCGCGGGAGGATGGTGCGTAGTGTGCACGGTGCGCCTGTGCGCGGGATGCATATGAGGCCATGGAAGAGTTTGATGCATACGGATGCACGGTGCGCGAGAGGTTCTCGGCGGTGAGCTGGTACTGCTGGCGGGCAAGCTCCTTCTCCTTCTCGGCAAGCCTGGCCTTCTCAGCCTGGCGACCTTGCCAGACGCGGATGGGAGCCAGGAAAGGCTCAAAGTGGTAGTAGAGGTCATCGGGGTTGATGCGGAGGTCCCAGTCGAGGAGGAAAAGCAACTGCTTCTCCATCAGGTTTACTTCGGTGATGGAGAAACCGAAGTTATCATAGCCACGGACGGCGCTGTACCGGGCCCAGTGCTTGTTCTTGGGCGACGAGTCGTTGAGGTTCTTAGCCGCAAGAATGAGGGAGGCGAGGAAGATGCGGTGGACAGTGCAGCGCATACCCTTGGCGACAGGAGGAAGACGAGACCGTAACCGGCTAAGGTATACGAGCGAAGTCATCAGGGTTGCGGTCTGGACATGTGACCTCTCGACAATGGACGTGATGAACTCTTCTACTGATGGGAGGGCGGGATCCCGGCTGGAGGCAGCATACTGAGGAGGCGAGGCCGGTGGGGTGGGAGGAAGGTTCTTGTTGACTGATGGTTCGCAGCGGATGACTTGTGTGGCCTTTTGCGCAAGGTACGAGATCATGTCATTTGAGACGGGGAGTTGGATGAAGTGGTCGAGAGCGGCCTGGTTCTCGGCGGCGAGGTTTGGTGAGTAAGGCATGGCGATGTTTTGTGGCGAAGATGCAAGTGGGGAAATGTTTGACTCTTTAAAGTGAATGTTGACCTTGGTAGGTGATGCTGAAGGGCAGGGATGATGGTGTGTTATGATTATGCCCTGCGAGGCGGAACTAGGATCCGGTCTGAAGGATGGTAAGCGGATGTCCAAGGCAGTTTGTGTGGCTGGGTAGCAACACAAGGCTCGGTGGAAATGGCAATTGAGCGAATATTAAAGCGGTGAGTTTCCGAGTCCAGTCGGAGAAAGGCAAAGCAGTAGTGTTTTTTGGTTCCTTTTGGCAAGGGAGAGTGTGGACGGCGCTGCCGATCTGGGAAGTGGGAGTGTGGTAGGGTGTAACGCTTGTCACTACCGGAGTGGGGAATGCACCTGCACCGCTAGGATGGCAGGAAGCGAAAGAAGGGAGGATGAAGAAGAAGTGAAGTCGGGACTGACAGTGAGTGAAGCAGTATCGACGGCAGAAAGCGTGATACTTATGACCGACAGACCCTTGGGCGGGTGCAGATGCGGTGCTAAGTTGGGAATGGGATCCAACAGGTCGGTGGTTCGGCGGCTGCGTGTGGGATCCAATGAAGAGTGGATACGGGAAAGCGACGGCGACGTAGCGCGCAACGCCAGAATCAGGCCAGCGGCTGTATGGCCGAGTTTGTCGGGGGGCAAGATTGCGAGTGGTATTGTGCAGGACCCCAGGAATAGGGTGTTTCAAGTACAAGCCAATGGTTTGCAGAGCGGTGCGGGAGACACTGAGGCGCGACGAGCTGACAGCCAATCGACGTATGTAGCGGGTCGCGTTTCGAAGGACAGTCGAGTTTGTTTGAGAGGTGTCGCTTACTACCGTCGGTGATGTTGGTCAAGGACTGGATGTTGGGACAGGATGGATGGATGGAAAGTTGAGGTGTCTTGGTTGGCGCAGCGGTCGACTACAACGACGTTTGCTGGCGCTGCAGACACTTGAAGTTTGCGGCAGCAGTGACCGCTATGTACTCGTGCGTGGGGAATAACTCGCCGGGACTAGAGTGTCTGCTGGCCTTTTAGTTGGGTCACGTTTCCGGCTTGGTCGATGGAGAACTGAGGCGGTGAGTCGGGCAGAGTGGACCCGTCTAGCAGTGGTTGATGAATAGCAGGCGACCACGCAGTAGCAGCACACCTGCTCCCATATACCTGGCAGAAGATACTGCCCGGGCGCATTCACCTACTCGGCCAACACGGTGACAATGACGACGGTGTGGTGCCCAGTGCCAGGGCAAGCATGCGAAAATGCGACATTACCCAGCCTCCTGCCAACCCGGAAGATGCAAATGGGCATGTCCTAGGTGGATTGGGCAGGAAAAGCATTCTTTCCCTACGAACACGCGTTGCAATGCGTAGCAGATTGAGATGTGCTTGATGTGGTGCACAGTGTGGCTCAGCCGTCTGCATAACGAACGTCAAAGTCGGCCGAATGCTCGGTGGCCACTGAAGGCTTTGCCATGCTGCCCCTCTGCGCATGTCAGCATCAGTGTGTGTCGGCATGTCTGCATGCCACTCCATCTCTCCACCACCCACCTTGCATCACGGCCCAATTTGGCAAGCCTCCTGCCATCTCTCAATCGCATGACAGCGTGTCCCCTCCACAGGCTCGGCCAGATGGTGCCCACGGCCACGCATAAGATCGCCGTCATGCGCAGGGTCTAGCACTCTAGCACCCCGTCTCGATTGGCCAACGCATACTGCAAACAAGTCATCGTTCGTTTCAACCCTCCTGTTTACATCCGACAACTGACCAGCCTCTTTGGCCGAGGCCAGATGCCAGCAATTACAGTGCCCCAATCAATGGCCATGCAGAGCCTGTTCCTCTCTCTCGAGCCTTGTGGCCCTCCTCAACAGCCGCTGCACCGCCTCAGCCACACGGCCAATGACTCTCCCCGCCGAGCCTTTGCTTCTTCTAGAAGGTCGTGGCCAACCGACTGAGACATCTGCACCTACTCTGTAGTGCTGCTTCTTGTCTCCTGACAAGACACGTCTATCAAACCTTGTCTCGGCCAGGCCGCTACTACCTGCCTCTACGTGGTCCACGTCCGCCTGGGCCTCGAGCTGGCGTGGGGTATGTCACCGTTGAATACGGACGACAAGTCCGCGAGAACTCAATCTACCTCGAATCTGACCCCTGCAGCAACAAGTCCCGAAAGCGGACTAGCCGCCTGTCTAAGCGAGGCGCCTGATGAATGCGGCTCTGTACTAGTCGCCACCCCCCGACAGCGGCTGCTATATCGAGGCCGGCCCTGTGCGTGCCGCCCACCAAGAAGCCCTCGTGTTGCCTGGATTTGGCAACGTCGGTCCCCATTGCGACCGTTATTCTTATCCAGGTATGTGGTTCGTTGCGCAATCTGCTTGCTGCATGCCGGGAGATCTGCTCTGCTGCTGTTTGAGGGTTGGCGGCTACGGCCGTGTAACCTTCCGGCTGACAACTCAGCGCTTCGAGGTTTCAGCAGTCAGCTGTGGTAGTCACCAAAGTCACCAACGTCACCATCTCTGCCTCAACAAGGCCACTGTTCCCCAGGGGCCTGTCGCGTCTTGGGCTTGGTTTTCTTAGTAGACTATGCCGCAGCCACACACGACCTCATCATCAATACCATTCAACTCTCCGTCTTGGAGGCATGACCCCGCATCGTGTCAAATAACGGCCCATCATCTGGCATACCACATGTTTCGACCGCCCCGGAAATGGTCGGCAGAATGGCTTTCTGGCGCTGTTGGGACATGACTATTTTGACAGCGGCTTCTTGGCCATGCGCCATTTGCCATTATGGTTCAACGAGGTCATGCCGTGCAACACGCGGTGCATGGGCTAGTATCACCTCTTATCAAGCACGCGCTCCCACAAAGCTGAATATTACACTCATGTCTACATCCCCTGATTCTTTGCGCGATATACTAGGTTACCATTTGAGTTTAAAAGTACGTCATGCGAACGTTTATCGGCCCGCTATAGTAGTGCAACGCGCGGGAATGTATTGGAAAGCGTATTTATATCACTCTGGAGGTCCCTCATTTCACCGGGCATACATTGAGTCCTCCATAAAATTAGGCTGCATGGCAATAAACGCACTCCTTTGATGGTAACTACGTATTTTTTGAGTGTCTCGGCGAAGAACGACATCTATTCCAATCTCATCGGTTCTAGAGAAGACTTTGGAAGTCCGGAAAACATATTTCCAGTCGTCTAATTTTTAAGAATTTTCAACAATAGTTTCGCAAGTAGAAATAAAAGTACGAAAGCCGAAAGAGTAGCTATTGTTTTTAATACCTCCGCTGTCGGTATACACATACCCTATCACCCAACGCTGAACAAGCTACCCGCCTCGATCCTACTTCGGTCCGACTTGCGCCGAGCTCAGGTATACCTTCGTAGTAACCCCGTTCATAGATCAAAATACCAATACCAGTCACAAGAAGAACCTCGTTGTTGTTATTCACCCGTACGATTGTACAAGGCCTACCAACATCCGCCGTCCTAGAAGCTACACTAGAAATGTACCGTCGCGGAGGCCACACACGATTTACTTCACCACCATGAGACGACCAAGACGTAGATTTTCAGAGACATTTGTGACTGATTTTGGAGTTTTAGAGAAAAAGGACGTCATCGCCAAATTGTTTGGGCGTTCAGAGTTCGCACGGAATAAGGTAGTGAGGAGAGAAGAAGACGGTCGAGTGATGACTTTTATATCGTAGTCCTGCATCAAGAGTGTAGCAATTGTTTTTATTTCAAGGAAGAGCTTTTGCGATATTTTCAAGTAAGTGGTGCCAGCGTCCATGGCATAAAAAGTCCATGATCTTGGAAAGGGTGGAGTAGAAGTATTATTTTACATGAGGAAATATTTCGGGAGTAGAAGAGAGCATATCTCCGAAGTTGACGTATTTTCAATATACAATTCTTTGAGTGAGCTTTAGTAGAGGACAGAAGAGTTGGTGCTTTTCCTGGTATTCATGTTTCTGCCCTCCTGGGGTATCGCCTCGGAAACAGAGGTAGATTGATTTTCGGCAATAAGACTGGGAGACCAAAAACATTGAAAGAGGGGTCGTGTTTTTCAAAAAAGAAATGGGGGGAGAGGGCAACACTATCATGGACTTGTCTGCTTCTCATTTTATTTTGACACAAAGGAGTGTAGAATATTTGTAAAAGAGGAAAGAGGAGAGAGTAATACCACCATTTGATATTTGGATATATGTTTTAATGGTACAAAGGAGTAAAGAGTAAGTTTGAAATAGGAAAGAGGAGAGAACAGCACCACCATTATTCATGTAAACGTCCCTTTTGGTAGCACAAAGAGGTGTAAAGTAAATGTAGAATAGGAAGAAAGGTGTGCGCCACCCAATTTTATACCCAAGACCTCAGAGGAAAGCTCATCTAAGTTTGCGCAGACTAATTTTAATATAGAACCGAAAATCTCAGACACATCGAGGCACAGTGGTTCGGTTTGGAAGGACGACAGAAGTCATTCGTAGACATTTCGTCGATTTTGGAAAGACAGAAGAGCACACATAAAGGTCGTTTTTGTATCCTTTTTAAAAGCCATGGTTTTATGTAAGAAAGAAAGATAGAAGAAGAGGAAGAAGGAGAGAAGACCACTCAGGTTTATATAGCGTAGGAATAGGTAGAAGAAAGCGGGGAAAGTTATGCGTCCATGGCGGTATTTATTTTTCAAAGAATACAGCAACAGAGAGCACATCATCAGCTTTAGTGTGGTGTTTAGGAGATATTAGAAAGCAGAGAAAACCATAACACCTGTGTGGTTCATTTTTAGACAAGGAAGCAGCGAAGAAGGCAACATGTGCCAGTCAACAAAGGATTTTCAGAAGATTTTTGTGGAACAAATAAGATAGGAGACGAGCCTCCGACTCACGCATTGGTTTTCTCTTTGGTTTAGTCCGCAGATAGAAATCATAATAGCCTACGGCGTTCTATTTTAGAAAGGTAGTTTTAAAGAGAGCAGTCCATTTTTCCGTGCTCCCGGATTTTAGCAAATTGGGTGGGAAAAGTGAGGGAAAGAAGTGAAGTGGGTTCCAGATGATTTTCGTGGTATAAATAAGATAGGAGACGAGTCTCCAGTCTCATTGGTACTATTCAGCTCTTTTTCTAATCCGCAGAAAGAAACAAATCGTTTATAGCGCCGAGTTTTCTAAAAAGCAGCGGGGAAGAGAGCAGCCCATATAGGCGGCAGGGAATATCTTTTGTAAATAGATTGAGGGAAATAGAGAGAAAGAAGTAAAGAGTAGATCCACAGCGGAGTTGGAATTTATAGGCCGCGATGCCGCTGGTCTCACACCATGAAACATGCGTCAAGTCCTTTTGAATTGTGAGTGAAAAGCAGAAACTTCCAGGAGTTTTCCGTAATATTTTGAGGTAGAGGTAGACACAAAAATTTGGGACAACAGAAGATTGTTTTTGGTGCAAACACCGAAACATACCGCGTAGCGGTCGATGATTTAGAAAAAAGTCGCGGAAATCATTATGAAATTCTTCTATAACTTTTAGAAATAAGTTTCCAAGTTTAATGTAAGAAGGAAGAAGGTATCCGCAGAAACCAAAGTTTTTATACTACCCCCTCCCAAGGTCTGCTTACATCAGCGCCTAGAAGAGAATAGGTAGCAAAGCAGATAAGCTGATAATTTTCAAGTCGTCGGAATGTTCTAGACATTACACGTAAGCCTGAAAGTTTTAATAGATTTGTTGGAACTGGTTGCTGGAGGGGACAACATGTATAGCTACTACATATTTTTAAAGAGATCCAGTGTTGGTAGGGCTGTAGTACTAGTGCTGAAAGGAAATAACGATAACTAGGAATGCATTCTGTTCGGTGATGGTTCTGATTGATTGTGAAGGAGAACTATGGAAGAGCTAGATATAGGAGGTCTGGTCTGAGCGCTGCTCGGACGCCGCGGTCAGTGCGCCTGCTCGCGTGACCGAGATCAATGCGGCCGATCACGTGGCTGAGATATCGTTGATATCTGTGATCCGACATCCAGCGTATTTTAGAAAGAGTAGAGATAGGAGGAGGGTAGTAGCCATACCGCTATAGTTTCCAATTTTCTAGTTGCTTAACACGTAGTTTCATAACTTGATTTTTGAAATACTCGGAAAGAACGACATAGAGTTTTTCAATGCCGTATTTTGGAGGAATCCGGCATGTTTTGGAAAAGAGGAGAGGCTGAAACAACATGATCTCTCCCTTAAGGTCATTTCTTTTTTTCGTTGCTCAGCATGTTTACTACAACGTAGATTTTAGAATCCTCGGAGAGAACAACATGAACTTGTTGCTTCTTGATTTTTTAAAGAACTCCAGCATGTTTGGAAAGGAGGAGAGAGGGGGACAACATGGCCACTTTATATTTCACGTTTTTTCGGTTCCTTGGCATCTATCCGGGGATCTGAATTCTGGAACACACAGAGAGAACGACATACTTCTCCAAACTTTTATTTTGGAGCAAGTGAGCGTATTCTAGAAAGGCCAGAGATAGGAACAACATAACCGCTATTCTTAGCGGTTTTCGATTTTCGAGTTACTCAATATAACACCGAAAGATGTAGTTTTCAAAATACTTGGAAAGAACAACCCAGTTTTTATATTGGTGATTCAGACGAACCTAGCGTATTTCAGAAAAGTCAGAGACAGGAACAACATAACTGTTCGTCGTTTCGATTTTCAATTTCTCAAGTTACTCAACATAACCAACGTATGCCAATAATAGTTTTTAAGAAAGCGCGGAGAAAACGACATTCATCCTCTGAATCCGTGTTTTAAAGTGACCCAGCTTGTTTAGAAAAGCCAGAGTCGGGAAGAACATCCTCGGCATTTTCGGTATTTTCAATTCTCCGGTCGCTCAATATGTCAACTCCATGTTGTTTCTCCCAGCACACTTGGAGGAAACACCATATAGACGCTGCGTAGGAAATTTCTTTCCATTCAGAGTCAACGTCATCGCTTAGAAAAGGGGAGGAACACAATAGGAAGTTCATACCGTAGTGTCAGAATCTCCCGAGGAAACACCATGGGTAGGTACCGAGTGTATTTTATCCGCCGCCCATATTATCATCCAATTTTCAGAAAAGCAGAGGAACACCATCTCGGGCGCATGAGGTGATTTTATAAAAGCGCAGAGGAGAAGAAACCATGAAATCCAAACTTGTGTAATTTCAATCCGTTATAGGGTGGGGATCCGTGTAGTTTCAGAGAAAGAAGGAAACACCATACGCGAGTTGAATACTTCGTTTAGAGAAAAGAGAGGAACACCATGCAAGGCAACCGTGCAAACTTTTGAAAAGCACAGAGAAGAAGACACCATGAAGGAACTAGATCTCTGTTTTCTTTATCAGGCCTTTACGCATCATATTTCAGAAAAGCAGCGAAGCACCATTAGAGTTCCGGAGAGTAGTTTTTAGAAAGGCGGAGAGGAGAAGACACCATGAACTCTTTACCTGTAGTTTTAAGCCCTCATGGGGTGATTTTTCTGCTAGTTTTAGAGAAAAAAGGGAACACCATCATAGTCCCGGAAGATAGTTTTTAGAAAAGCGCAGAAGAGAAGACACCATCGAAATGTAGTATTAGTGATTTTTAACCCCTCATCGGGCTCTTGTGTCGTTCTTTTTATAGAAAGGAGGAAACACCATCATGTATGACTGTTGGTTTTTTTTTTTAGAAAAGCGCGGAGAAGACACCATCAAGGAGGTCAAGAGCTGATTTTCAACCCTCATCGATCTCCTTAATCTGCCATTTTAGAGAAAGAGGAGAAAATCATCTGCGAGGTCAGTCATAATTTTTATACCCCACCATACAGTTCTTCGTTATTTTTCAGAGAAAGAGCAGAACACACTCCATTGCCTCATTTTGTTCTTCTTTTAGACACTCCACCATGAAACCCGATTGCGTATGTTTTAGAAAATAAAGTAGTATCCTCACAATCCACCTCGCATGCCCTTGTACCCATGGTACTTTTAGAAAAAAACAGGAAACATCCATCTCACTTGGGCAGGGTTTTAGTCCACAGGCAGCGTCCATGACCAATGTTCCTAGCTATTTTAGAAGACAGAAAGTAGAAAGTAGAAGACTGGAACACTGCTCCCCTCCCCTCCACTCCACCCCCTCATCCAATGAATGTATGTGTTTTAGTAAACCCCAAATTTTAGAAACGTAGAAAATAGTGATAAAGAAGAGAGAAAGCTCCCAGCACCCAAGCGACGTTTATATATTCATCACTAGCCTATATGCTAGGCCGAATAGAGACAGCCAGGTGACCGCACACATACCCGCAGGCAACAGCGCCACAGACACATGATCAGCGTTTTCCTTGTCTTTGAAATCCCAAACAAAAGCGGAAAGACATTTTTCTGTTGTCTGTCAATTTTGGAAAGGACACAAGCAGGCACACAGACATAATACGGTTGAAAGGCGTATTTTTAGGACGCAGGGTGTTGATGAATGATGGTTGTTGTGAGTTGGAGAAGGGACAGTGTGGGTTTTATACTTTGAGAAGCTGAAAGTGACTAGGAAGAACACATATCAGAGCGGGGAATTTTTTTAGAGGCGTGAGTTTATGTCTTTGCGCATATGTCGGACATGCTGTGGCTGTTTTGGGGGCTCGAGCAACGTTGACGGTGCTGATGATGCTGGCGGATACAATGGGTTTCTGAAATGCATTCCACAACGTATGAGTCCTGCAGAACAACTGCAGGGAATACTTCCACAAGAAAAAGTATGCATTCGTGCGCCTAATCTATGTGGTTGAGGCGATTAACCTATTTACGCTGACGATGCTAATACTAGAATACTCACCCTCATTCCTCATATCCCTCTGCCTAAAAACTGCCTACTCATGCAACCGCCGCTCAACGGGCCCGGTCCTCGGTGGCGTCTCATTCATCTGCTGCTCATCGTCTGTGTGTCTTGCATTGATGTTTCCCTCTTCCCGTCTCATCATCGCTCTGTCCCCGTCATTCTCCTGATCGCGCTGCTCGGGGGGTATGCGCCTATGCGTGCGTGCTGTCGTTGTGCCACGAAAAATTGGTGAGCGTGTGCGACGACTAGTCGTCCCAGTGCCTTGATCAGGAGCCAGGGCTGTCAGAGGGCCATCGCGCGTTGGTTGTAGGTGGGTAGCGCCGGGTCCCGGGCGATAAGCACGTGTAGGTGGACGCGGTGGCGGTTCGCTGCCATGAGGTCGGTGGGACTGGAGGTTTGAAAAGTACGGTGTAAAGTCACCTGCATTTGGAAACAACGCAGGTTGGGCCTGTTCTGGTGATTGATTTCGCCAGCCGTATGTAGAGGTACGACTGTATGTAGAAGTACGACTGTATGAGCGTTCCTCTGTTCGCTGATGTGGTTGATCTACAGTCGTGGGATTTTGTAATGCATTGCTACGATTCCGATTCCGATTGGATCGATCCTCAGAAACAGATGCCTGAGGCATACTATGTCGAAACGGCATAATGCCAGTACTTCTTGCAGCGTCGGTAGGCGTAGTTCGGTTTGCCGCCTGTAGTCGCTCATATGCTGCCCTGTGTTCCTGTACTGTATTGGTACGAGGAGCACGACTTTGATGAGCTGGAGCATTCTCACTTGAAACATGTGCAGACCTCGGTGGAGGCATGGCTGAACCATGCGACGGCATTGTGTACGGTGAAATTGTAGTTCTTGTTGCAGCAAGTGGGTTTATCTCATATCCTGCCATATTGTGCTGAGCTGATTAAAGACTGGATTCCTAGCCTGGGGCTG